CCAGGCTTGAGACGAGGCCTCTGACAAGGTCACTTGACAGCAAGAGAGCAGTAATGAGCAAGATGGATTTACCTTAAGTTGGGGCCTTTCCATATGCGCCTATATCACGAGTGTTTTGGCTTTTGAATCACAATAAACACTTATTTTAAGCCCCTCCAAACATGGCCTAAGAATCAATGCTTATCTTCTGGAAAGATAGTGAGAAGAGGTGACCTCCCAAATGACCACTTGGATCGAGGCTTAGCTAAGTAGAAGAGTTGAGAAGTCACCAAATGGAGTCACACCAAAAATATGTAAAGAAGGCAATTATATGTGTATAATGAAAGCTTACCTTATTGTGCACTTGGGATCGAGGCTTAGCTAAGCAAAATGTTGGGAATTGGGGTCACAGAAACTTGGAGGAGAAGTGCTCTGAGGTGTGTCTGAAGACACTATCTTTAGAATGTTATTTGCCCTTACTCAGTTTTATTGAGTTTGCTGTTGGGTTATAGGGAAATTTGTTTCCAAGATATAACAGAGCCTTGAGCGAGAATCTGCAACCAATAAAGTTGAAGAGTCTCTGAAGAAACCTTCTGTGAGAGACAGTAGTAGATCAAACTGAGAGAGACGAGTGATTTTCGAAAACCTATGTCGAATTGCTTGATTCACATTCCTTAAATAGTTTTTGAAGAATCATGGAGATGAGGAAGATGTTTGCTCAGAAAAAAGGCTCTTTAAATAGTCACAATTTTAAATTGTGACCATTAAAAGGTAGTTAACAATTAATGACTATTAACTTTGAACAGTGCCTCTTGATTACATCCAATCAGATCGTGACCATTGAAATCATCAACAATCAACCTTGCACCAAAAGTCAAAGTTGCCTTATACAGACCATGCGGAGTGTGAGCAAAGTGTGCCTCATTGTGCTGCACGCACACACATACGTTGCACAGTAGCAAACCTCCATACTCTACTCTTATATTTCTAAAGAGTGTAAATAAGCTTCTATTTAAAAACTTAAAACAAGTTTAGTAATTTCCTAATGTGGGACAAGTTGAAAACTGGTTTTTTAGTGAGAGAAAAAACTATTTTTCAAGACATGTATGCAGGTGTGAACTTGCACCAAAAGTCAAAGTTGCCTTATACGGACCATGTAGAGTGCAAGCAAAGTGCGCTTCATTGCGCCGCATGCACACACATGTGCGTACGTTGCACAGTTGCAAACCTCCATACTCTACTCTTATATTTCTAAAGAGTGTAAATAAGCTTCTATTTAAAAACTTAAAACAAGTTTAGTAATTTTCTAATGTGGGACAAGTTGAAAACTGGTTTTTTAGTGAGAGAAAAAAACTATTTTTCAAGACATGTATGCATGTGTGTTTTTCATGTAATTGATCAATCAAACCCCATTAGATTTAATATCTAATGAGATTAAAATCCAACACAGAAGAGCCAGAAGTCACCAAATGGAGTCACACCAAAAGTTTGTAAAGAAGGCAATTATTTGTATATGTGCATCATGAAAGCTTACCTTATTGTGCAAATGACTACAATGACTTGATTGAATCAAGTGGTATAGCTAGAAGTGTAGACACTTATAAAAAAAAAAAAGAATGGCATAGGTATAAGTGTATACACTTGAAAACATTAACAACATTATGATTAGTTCTGCTTTTCTTATTATTAACATTTTAAAAATTATACTCCTTCCAACATGGATTGTTTTTTTCGGGGTAGCCATGCCCAAAATCCTAGCCCCCATTTGGGTGAAGGCAAGACTTGATCCTAAATCTCAACTCTTTAACCAGCAAGTTAGTGAGCTCCTCCAATCAAGGAGAATGAATCAATGGCTTTTTATTTTTGGATAAATTGTTAAAGCCTCTCCTGAAATTTTTGATCGTTGTTGAAGTTTTGGTAATTGCAATCACCTCCCATGAACTTTCTAACATAGTTGCAAGTAGATCCCCTCTATTAGAATCCTCTAACAAGAGACGCGAAAAATGCTCAAAATACCCATGCAATTATTATTTAGGTTGCTTTCAGAAAAAGAATACAAACTTTATGAACAACAAAGAAACTAAGAAAATTTAAAGTTGTGGATTTACCTTTAAGCAATTGATATGAAGGGAAATTTTGGAAAATAAATCAATTTTTGAAAGGATCCAGGGTAGCGATTGATATGAAAATAAAATTTAGAAAATAAACATTTTGGTCAAAAATAACTTCATGGGCATTTTGGATTTTTTCATGCCTCTTGTTAGAGGATTCTAATAAAGGGGGTCAACTTGCAAATGTGTTAGAAAGTTCAAGGGAGGTAATTGCAATTATCAAACTTCATGGGATGTTTCAACAACGGTCAGAAACTTAAAGGGAGGTTTTAGCAATTGTTTAAAACTCACCATGAGTTTTCAACATTTCTCTTAAACTCACAACTTTTTAAAACATCCAGGGAACCCCAAGTCATTAAGTTTTACTTTCCATTAGTGCATTGTTAATGTTTCTTAACATAGGTGTCCACGTTAGCATGAATAACAATTTTTATGACCAAATTACCCTTGGATGGCGAGTTAGAGGAAAAGGGCTATTTAGGTTAGGGCTAGATTTGTTCTCCCAAAATTCTCTCTCTATGCTCTACCTCTCTCGTCAGATCTTCTGGCCATTGCACTGCACCCTCTCTCTTGCTCAAATCTTGCTTCCGTCGTAGCACCTTCTCTCTCGTTCAGATCTTGTCACCATACCACCTTCTCTCATGCTTAAATCTTGAAGGTAGCCATTGCACCACCCTCTCTCTTGCTCAAATCTTGCCGCTGCCATAACATCTTCTCTCTCACTCAGATCTTACCGTCGCAACACCTCCTCTCTTGCTTTGATCGTGAAGGTAGCCATTGCCCCACCCTCCCTCTTGCTTAGATCTTGCTACCTCCATAACACATTTTCTCTCATTCAGATCTTGAAGGTAGCCGCCACACCACCCTCTCTCTCTTGCTGAAATCTTGCCATCACCGTAGCACCTTCTCTCTTGCTCATATCTTGAAGATAGCCGCCATACCACTCACTCTCTCTCTCTCTCTCTCTCTCTCTCCTATTTGAAGTCGCCACCACACAGATCTACTGTTTGAAGATCTATCGGTTTGAAGATTTGAAAGAACAAAGACGATTAGAAATTTCAAAAATTTTTTATGCTTTGAAACATTTGCAATGTATTCTTTTGAATTTGGAATGTAAATCCCCATCGAGGTCTTTACAAATTTATGCAAAAAGATATTTTTGTAAATTTTTATTTGATTATCTGAATTTTTTTTTGAATTTTTGTTGCAATAATTGTAGGATGCAATGTCTAATTTTTGTTTGATTTTATTAGTTTGTTTGTAATTTTTGAAATTTGTGTTTCTACATTTTTTACTTTTTTCTATAATATATAATTTTTGAATTTTTATCATTTTATGTATATTTGCAATTTCTGTTTTTATCCAATCTTTATATTTTTTGAGTTTTTTTTTTGCATTTTGCATTTTTCAGTTTTCAATTTTCTTTTTTTTTTTTGCATTTTCAGTGTTTTGTTATAATTTCCAATGTTTTTCACATTTTTTCTATTTTCTATAATCTATAAAATTTCCTGTATTCTTTGTTATTTATTTACAATTTCTGTGTTTTTCTATATTTTTTGTGTGTTTTTTCTACAATTTTTATTTTCTGAATTTGTTTTTTCAATTTCTATAGTTTTTATAATTTAAAGATAATTTTTTATTTTGTTTGCAATTTCTATAATTTTTATATTTGTTGTAATTTTTATATTTTTATGTATTTTATATTTGAAAATATTTTTTGAATCTTTCCTTTTTTATATCTTTTTAGTTAAAATATTAAAATATATATGTATATATTTTATATTTTTCTATGAAGGGTCAAATATTAATATATTAACACCACCCATTTGTCTGTTTAACATCAAGTTAGTGACATGATGAATTTTAAACATTTTAAAAAATTATGATAAATTTAAAAGAAATGTTAAAATTCATGATGAGTTTTAAACAATTTCCATAAAACTTACATTGTACAAACTCTAACGTGGGGAAGAACGTAAAATAATAAGGGGGTAAATGGAAATTCACCAATGCGTAGCGATGTGATTGCAAAAAAGACCTATTTTCTATATTTTTTTTTGCTTAAGCCTCTCTTGTGTCTTATGACAAATGCTTTGATCTCCCCTCTACTTTGACTTATCTAAAAGTTTTCATTCGGACATTTTGGAGAGATTATACAAATAGTCCCAGTTTGACGTGGACTAAACAATGAAATTACCGTTATGTTTCTATTCTTTTCTTTCAAACAAAAAAGCACAACATGTCATAGACCACTTACACGTTCCAAGATAAAATTGGTAGATCGTTGGAACAACTGGGATCTGCTCCTCACAGATCGGCATGCTGTGAGGTTCGTGTCAGATGCGCTCTGTGAGGAGCAGATCCAGACTCTATTGGATCGTGTTTTGTTGGCAAAAAATCTCAACTCCTAACATTGTGATTTCACTAAAGACGTAGAAGCCTGCAAGGCCACTCAGACCGTACTTGTCTTATTTTCTTTTTTCTTTTAATTTAGAAGGCCAAATTTACAGTGTATATAAAAGAGGCTTTCAGGGTTATTTTGGTCAATAAATACTATTTATACGCAAATTGAGAATTTTAAAGTATTTAAAAGCATGGCGTGGCATTATTATTTTTTGATTAATTTCTTAACATCGAAGTAATAGAAGAGGTCTATTTTTTTTTTTTTTTATAATCAATTCGTTTGAAATGTCAAGCAAGAAATTTGGAGACAGGGGATATTAAAGCATTTATCAAAAAACATAAGTGAGGTTTAAGTAATTTATCCCAAGAATAATTGTCAGGTCAACAAACGGGGCCTTTCAAGCCAATTTGTAGACTTATTATTCTCGCTCTAGGCTAGGGTACTTTCGACTATTCACTGTTTTCTCTACCTGTGACGTGTCAATTAAAACAGCCGGGTTCTTCGAAGTAATTGTAGCCATTATTTTGAGATCGTTCAAGAGCCGAACTAAACTTTTACTCACCAGCTTGCCTTGGATCGGAATCTGGTGTTCCTTCCCGGCGATTCCGGTAATTCCCGGTGAGCTTTTTCAATTTCAGATTCTTCAGGTATGCTGCGGTATACGGCTTCTTGCCCCTTTCGTTTGAATATCATGTTTCCTTAAATTCTTTCCTTTGTATGGATTAATTTATTGACATTTCCTTCACGGACTTATCCGATCGTCAGAAATTATTATGTTTTAGTAAATTCGGTCGATCTCTCTCCAATCACGACAGTACCTTTCTTTATATTTCAGTTCGTTTTCTTTCTGAAGGCGAGTTACAGAGGCTTGCCCTTTCAATTGCCCGAGTACGAGAGAGCTAGGGTTTTTGCGAGTTAGTTAATCAAATCGGAACAATTGGAAAGGAATATAAACAATTTTAACTTCCTTGTAAATAATATTCTTTAATAAAAGACAATTCAATTGGAAAGCCAGCAAGCTTTCCAACCTTTTAAGAGGTCTACCAGATTAACGATCTCTGCTTTATGATGATGCAAGGTTGGTAAAAGCTTTCGGCAGGATGAGTGAAGTCTTTGAAGGGTACGAGCGCCAATACTGCGAGCTCTCAGCAAATCTATCCAGAAAGTGCACATCTGCTGGTCTTCTTGATGGAGGTATGGGATGCATTCCCCTCTCCTTGTGCAATTTTCTGGTTTTGGTTGAGCTTAATATATGCAGATCCCTTGGTATCCGCTTTCAAATTGGATATCTTCGTTCATATGATATTACGTCAACTAAAGTTGTTTGATTTCCATAATTATTGAAAATTTTATCATTGATTGCAACGATCCATGGTATCTGCGTCTTTTTTTTTTTAACTTCTATTGTTGCTTCGGAATATTTCTGATTCTTGGAATCTGTGAGAATTCTTATTATGATCCGTTGGTAAAGGTTATATACATCAGCTTGCCTGGCGAGAAGTAGCATTTTTTTTTTAATTTAGGGCATTGGAAGAATCCTTTGGTCGTAATTAGGATTTAACTTCTATCAGTCAAGGTAAAAATGTTACTAGTTTAGTATGTTAATGATCTGAATAAAACAATATCGCCAAATGAGTGACATGAAGAAACTTCTAGCATGGAATGCAGGATAACATGATACCAAAGGCTCGAAGAATGTAAGGAACTCATTGTGGTATCCTGTTGCACTTGAGAACGCAAGTCCACTTATGGAACTACTTTTAGTTGTTGACAAACTATAGAGAAGAGGTCATTTGACTAACTTCAGAATTTTTAGAGATGAATAATGAAATATTTTTCAACTTTTTTTTTCGTAGGCATATTACACTTGGGCTCAAATGCCCATGGAAAACTAAAATGGAATGACTTTTCTTGATTTGGAATCTGTACATGCTGTAAGTCTTTGAGATCATCTAATCTCAATTTCCTTGTGACTGAGAATGACATGAATGGGGCTGCCCTGGATAGAGTTGTAATGGATTTTAAAGTCCATCTAAGATCTCTTTGGATTTTCTATGTGGAACACAGTGTTTATCATTTGCAGGTTGACATAATAATATTGAATGTTTGATAGGAAACAGTTACTTTCATTAAAGATAATTAAATACAACTACAACTATCAACCACCCAATCATAGGGTGTTGACCTCATTGGAATACTCTTGAATTACAGCACTGCCCAAAACAAGTTTTCTCTAGTAGCCCCTTGCTTCGCCAACATATCAGCTAGCCCATTAGCTGACCTTCTAACCCACTTAAAGGAGGCTCCTATCTCCCTTGCTAGCAACTAGCCAATTTATTTCCATCACAAACTGTCTATATATCCAGACTCCCAATTTTGTGATTGTATCCACCCAATTACTAGCTTAGAATCCCCTTCTACCTCAATTTGATGAAGCCCCATCTGCTTAGCCAGCCTTAAGCCTTGTAGTACAGCCAATACTTAGGCTCTTAGTGAATCCCCCACTCCTATTGGCCTAGAAAATAAAGCAATTAGTCTGCCCTCTGCATCCCTTAGAACTCCATCTATTCCAGAAGGGCCTGGGTTGCCTAAAGAACTTCCATCAAAGTTCAGCTTTACCCTTTGGACAGTAGGAGTCCAAATATCTTGAGATTCAGCCTTCAAAGAAGTAGAATTTTCCACTACATTCCAGCCTCTTAAGATGTCATCAACTGAGAAGTCCTTGAAAAGCTCTAAGGTTTTCAGCCAACGTAAGATTTTGATGGTTATTCCTTCAATGACTTTATTCCTTAGATTTTTCAATCTCTAAATACCTTGTTATTTCTTTCTTCCTAGATTGACCAGAGGATAGCTGCCCTTGTGGCTCTCCACATTACTCTGCCTCTTTTCTTCAGTAGCCTAAAGAAAGTTGGATAAAAAAGGCCCACCACATCCCGAGGAGGGTCCCACTTGCAGACAAAGAGAGAAGAGAACCAATTCCAAATATAAGACACAAAGGGGCAGGAGATTAATAAGTGCAAAGATGTCTCACGCATAGATTCCAAGGCGCCAAGGCAAGGCTAAGCGAAGTTGCCTAGGTGATGGATTTTTTTTAAGTAAAAACATGTATCCTAGGGTAGTTCCCTAGGTTCCATAATCATATTTCCTTAATAAATATCCATAATTTTCATAAGAAGAGTATAAACTTCATGTTTAAGTATAGAAAATCAACATATTCCAACATATTCATGAGAAGAAAAAAAAGAAGGAAAAGAAAATTAAAAAAATATAGGGGCTGAGCCTTTATTTCTGTTATAGGAAAATAAGAAAAGAAAAGGTGGAAGAAATTAGCATATAAACACACAAAATTAGTAAAGAAAAAGAAGAAAATGTGTTGATTGGACAACATTTTAAGTTCTTATTGGTTCAGGTTTTGAAGTCTTTGAGTGTTCAATACAGCATTTAGCAATGTTTGTGTTGATTAAACCCTAACAAACAAGAAAATAATAAAAAGAAATTAGTATATAAACACACAAAATGAATATTTTAGTTTAAAATGTCTGTTTTATAATTATAACCTCTAAAAATTAAGAATATAAAAGTTTTTTATTACACGCTATAGAAAACTGCTTGGCAATTAGGCGAGGCGAGCCTCCAAGGGCGTCTTGTTGCCTAGGCGTCGCCTTGACAACTATGGTCTCACGACAACCCAAGCAAAGGCTACAAACATGGGGAGAGAGACACCAACGTGGCCTTCTTTTTTGAAGGTCTGTTGTTTTAAGCTCTCTACCTTCTTCCTATTCTCCTCATAGAGGACCTCATTCAAGAAGCTTTGTATTATTTGCAGTATCTCCTTCCATCCTTCCACTCGTCTCCCTTCCAGAATGCAAAGCATCTGTTTTGCTCCTTGTCTAAAAAATTCACTCAATGTTATATACCAACCATTTCCGTTTTTTCTTATTATTGCAAGATACCTCCTGCCCCATGCATCTAGTGATTTCTTCCACTCTAGATTTCTTTCATAATAAAGTGCCTCATCTACAAAATTCTTAAACCAAGCAATTGCCTCCCCTACAAGTAGAACTGTTGCCTTTTTGAGCTCCCTTAATTTAACCAATGAAACGCCTTTCACCATCATTTCCTCTGCTACAAAGGTGTTGGCTTCAGTCTTTACTGTCCTCTTCCACCCTGCTGCTCGAACAAAGTCTTCTTCACCTGGTTCTCGAATTGAAGCTCACGAAGGTGCAACGCTATCCATGATTCCCTTACCTAAAATTAAATGTGATATATCATGCTGTCATCTAATAACTTTTAAAAGACCTTTTGTTCTTCCTTGTTGTTGGTTTTAGTGCATTAACCTCTCTTCTCTTTCTTACACACATACACACAATGGCTCTACACCTTTGTTCTGCTCTATTTGAACTGTTGAAATTACTAAGCTGTTGAATATGTTTGATAATTTATGTCTTCTATGGATTTGGAGTCTTCTATAGAGTATAGATTTGGATGGTGGCTTGTTATAGATATTGAGTCACCCGTGTTTTTTATGAAATATGGTTATGGATTATTGTGTATAATGTTTGAATGTTTTCTCAAGTATATATTGAACCAATTCTTTGTAGATCTTTGTTACAACAATGTATGGATCCAAACAGGACTGACCATAATGATGCATGCAATTACCCTTCAATAAAAGGGGAAAAAGTGATTATGCAAGTCTTAAAGAAAGATATGGATCCAAAAGTTTAATCCTAATACTGTTAAACCATATAACATGATACTGAATACAAGATGTGCACCTTAAACCCCTAGGAGGTTAATAGTCTAATATAACTTCCATGAGCAGAAGAAAATTTAGAACGAGAAGGCTTGCCACCATGATTGCTTTCCTAGTAGAAAAGAGCCAGTAAGGAACCTATGTTGGTTTTGCAACATCCAGAGTGGCATAAAATCTTCTGGCTAGTTTTTGGCCTTCCCGTACTTCTCTGGTGTCCAAGTGTGATTAAATCCATTGGAGATGTGTGTGGAGGTTTCATTGAGACTAACAATTCCCCTCCAGAGGTAGCAACCTATGAGTGGGTCAGAATGAAGGTGCACAGGGGAGAGTCCATCCCGAATAAGGTGGATATTGCCGTGGGGGAAGCTTTGTTCTCTGTCCAACTTTGCTTGAGTTTCTGCCAGCTGTGAGTAGATGGAAGTGGGGAGATCAAGGAAACGGGAAGTCCCAAAAAGAGGGGAAAGTGGTCTCTGAGTTTTCTAAAATCTTAGTTCTAGAGGATGTTGGCGAAAATCTTCAACCTCAAATGCGCCTCAGTGATGCTCAACCTGACTTCCGACCACCGTTGAATTTCCCGACAGCTGATGAAGGTGAGGATGGAGACAGAATCAGTTCTAACCCGAGCCGTCGGATCTTGGATGTCTTGGAGGGCCAGGATGTGCCGTCTAGGGATAATATTGAAGGAGGGGTTCAAAATTCAAACTTTTGGTCGAATGGACGGAGCTTAGGAATTGAAGAATTAAAAAGTTTAATTGAAGAGTATTTGGTGGAGATGCATGTGGCACCCATGGAGGAAAGCTCGTCGAAAAGCTGTAGGGAGAACCGATAGTCTTCAGTCCTCGAACAGTGTATGGGCTAGGAGATTTTAATAAGGGCTCAGAAGCCCATTCCAATCCAACCAACCCCGGGTAGGGGTCTTTCACAGTTGTTCAGTAGTGGGCTTGGGCCCAAAGCAAGTAGCGAACTCAGGTTTCTCCTCCGTAGGAACGAATTGAGCAGTCCGAGCCAAAGGAAACCTAGTTGGTCCAGCCAGCCTCCAAAGAAAGTAGGGAACAGTCGCGAAGAGCATGTTCGTAACCAGGCTTCACCGCTGTTGGCTTTGAAGGGTAGTGCCGGCATACGGACTGTTCATCTTCAACCTCCTAGCCCTCTGTGTTCGTTAGCCTCACCTTTCATGGAGGAAACCAGGATGTATGTGCATCACCTAGCGTTGGCAAGGGTGGAAGAAAATCTGGTTGAAGCTGCTCCCATTGCGGTGGTGGACTCAAATGATTAGTTTGAAGACAGGGGGGAGGAAACTCATCAGCTTAGTTCACAGGAGGGGGGGGGGGAGAGAAATTGAATTGAGAGAGGCAATTGGAAGTCTAGCTCAGTTGAGTAATAACAATGGAAAGACATCTAATTCATCATTTCAGGGAGGTAAGCTGTCTAACATTTTGGCTTCCTCTTCTTGGGTTTCCTCGAAACTCTTGGGATTGGGTAAATTCTTAGGAATTTCAATGGAGGGGATGGAGGATGAAACAATTAATTTTTTGGAGGGGGTTGAACAAAGAATTCTTCTGGAGAGAGGGAAATTAGCGGCAAAGAAAGGAAGAACAACCTCTAAGAGGAGTAGAGAGATGATGAGGCTGACGTGGGGTTTAAATGATAAGGCAGGTAGCAGTGAGGGGACGTTGGGGGGGGGAGTTTAAGTTTGAAGTTGTTTTGCTCTGTTCTTATCGCTTTTTCGTGGAGTTAAAAATCTTATCTTGGAATGTAAGAGGTTTGGGTTCAGGAAGAAGAAGGCTAGTGGTGTGTGCGTCTCTGAAGAAGTCAAGTTCGAAGATTATCCTGCTTCAAGAAACTAAACTGGAAAGTTTGGATGCTACAACTATTAGAAGCATCTAGGGGGAGGGAGAGGTCAGATGGAAGGAAAAGTTGGCAGTGGGTAGTGCAGGGGGTTTGTTGAGCCTTTGGGATCCTTCTGTCTGTAGTTTAATCTCTTCTCACATTGGGAACTTTTAAGTTTCCTTAGTTCTGAAGTTTACTGATGGTAATATCTGTCAAATCACCAATGTTTATGGCCCTACAGACAGAAATCTCCGGGAGGATTTTTGGGAAGAATTGGTTGAGGCGAGGGGAAACTTGTCTTACCCATGGGTTATTGGAGGCGATTATAATGTTACTTTGTCTGCTGAAGAAAAAAATACCAGAGGTAGGAGGTCAAGAGCGATGCTTCAATTTGCTGATTTTATTAACAGATTTGAGTTGATGGATTTCCCCCTTCAGGGTAGTCGTTTTACTTGGACTAATAATCAAGACAACCCCACCCTAGGTTTTTGGTCTCCTCTAATTGGGAAGAGCTTTTCCCTAATTTTAGGCAAATTGCCCTCCCTAGGCCAGTATCAGACCATATTCCAATCCAGTTGGTCTGTGGCTTTAGAGGAAAAATCAGAGCCCCCTTTAAATTTGAGAATGCTTGGTTTGAAGATAATAAGCTTATTCCCTTGTTGAAGACTATGTGGAAAGCCTTGCAGGTGGTCGGCACTAGCTCTTTCATTTTGGCAAAAAAACTTGGTGCCATTAAAAAGAGATTAAAAATCTGGAAAATGGAGAATAATTTGAACTCAGAAACTAAAAAAGAGAGCTTTAGTGAGTATTATTAAGGAAATTGATTCAGCAGAAGAGATTAGTCCTTTATCAGAGGAAAGCAGATTGAAGAGATCTCAGGCAAAGATTAATTATGATAAGCTGGCTGTGAAAGAAGAAATCAAGTGGAGGCAGAGGGCTAAAGTAGTTTGGTTAAAAGAGGGGGACAAAAACACTCACTTTTTTCATAGAATGGCAAATGCCAGAACAAGAGCTTCTTCACTCAGTAAGTTGGAGTGGGAAGGAAGAATGGGGAATTCTGATGCAGAAATGAAGGTAGTGGCAACTAACTTTTATAAAAACCTTTATAAAGAGTCTTGGACCTTCAAACCCTTTCCTAGAAACTTCCTTTCAAGCAGTTGAGTGAAGATCAGATTTCTTTCATTGAGAGACCCTTTACGGAGGAGGAAATTAAAGCTGCTATTACCATGTTGGCGGATGATAAATCGCCAGGGCCGGATGGTCTTACCAACCTCTTTTATGTTAAATGCTGGGACTTTATGAAGCAAGATATTTTGAATGTACTTCAAGCGTTTTATGATAATACTTCTCTTCAAAGAAGTTTAAACACTACTTTTATCACCTCATTCCAAAAATTGAAATGGTAGTGAATGTTAAAGATTTCAGACCAATCAGTCTTCTGCACAATTTTTATAAGATCCTAGCTAAAGTTCTTGCTAAGAGATTGAAAGGGGTGTTAGAGAGTGTTATCTCAAACAATCAAAGTGCTTTTGTCCCGGGGAGGCAGATGCTTGACTCTGTTCTTATTGCTAATGAGCCGATTCACTCAAGAAGAAGAGAGGGTGTCCCAGGTTTGATTTGCAAACTTGATATTGAGAAGGCTTATGACCATGTTAACTAGAGGTGTATTGATTTTGTGTTGCATCAAATGAAGTTTGGGCAGAAATGGAGAAACTAGATTAAAGTGTGTATAACCTCTCCCAAATTTTCAATTCTGATTAATGGTCAGTCAACAGGGTTTTTTGATAGCTCTAGGGGTTTAAGACGGTGATCCCCTGTCCCCCTTGCTATTTATTTGTGTTATGGAAATACTTTGCTCTGTAAAAAGGCAGCTGATACTGGTGATTGGGAAGGTTTTGCAATCGCTCTTGAGGGGGAAAAGGTTAATATTCTCCAATTTGTAGATGATACTTTATGCCTTGTGGATGCTTCTCCTTCTCAGTTAGATCTTGTCCTTAGGATTTTAACCTGGTTTGAAGTGGTCTCTGGGCTCAAAGTCAATTGGAACAAAAGTCAAATCATTCCAATGGGTCAAGTAACCAACATAGTTGATTGTGCGGAGGTGTTGGCTTGTCAGATTGAATCCCTCCCAGTGAAATATTTGAGTTTGCCCTTGGGGGCAAATTGTTTAGCTTCCTTGATTTGGGATCTAGTTATTGAAAGAATGGAGAGGAAATTAGCATCATGGAAGGCAAGATATCTATCTTTTGGGGGTAGGGTTACTTTGATAAAAAGTACCCTTTCCAACTTACCTACTTATTTCCTCTCTCTTTTCCCCATCCCAAACAAAGTAGCAAAAAGATTGGAGCAGCTTCAGAGAAGTTTTCTTTGGAGGGATTGAGAAGATGAGCAAAGAATTCACCTAGTCAATTGGGACCAAGTATGTCTCCCTAAGACTAATGGTGGTTTCGGTATAAGGAAGTTGAAGAGCTTTAATTCTGCCCTCCTTTGTAAGTGGATTTGGAGGTTCTTGGCTGAAAATAATGCATGGTGGAGATCCCTCATAGCTGGTAAATATGGGGTGGAGTGGGGCAACTGGAGATCTAGGGATCCTCCTCCAAGTTGGGGCAACTCACTTTGGAAAGGTATTATGAAGAACTTCTCTGTCTTCCCAGAAGGGATTTCAGTCAAGATTGGTAAAAAGGGGATAGAACTAAATTTTGGAAGGACTCTTGGTGCTTGGATGGGCCTCTAGCTGAGTTTTTCCCCTTCTATTTCAGTGTGCTTCTAACCAAGAAGCATCTGTGGCTGAGTGCTTTTGTTCTGCTGGAGACTGTTACTTGGAGCCCCCCTCGTTAGGAGGAATCTTTTTGATTGGGAGTTTGAAGAGATTGTGGAGGTGATGACTCTTGTTCAGAAGCAGAAGATAGACCTGCTCTCGGAAGACAAATGGTGCTGGAAATGGAATCCGGATGGAGAATTTTCTATCAAATCCCTTACCTCTAAGCTTTGCAGATTGGGTCTCACTGATTTCCCAGCTACACAGATATGGAACTCTACAAGTCCATCTAAATGCAATTTTCTGATTTGGACGATGGCCCTTGACAAATGTCTTTCCAGATCTAATCTTGTGAGGCGGGGCATTCAAATTTTGGATTTATCTTGTGGTCTTTGTGGGTTCCTTACTGAATTGACAGACCATTTGTGTATTCATTGCCCGTTCTCCTCTCAGGTTTGGGAGCACTTCCTCAAATCCATGAATATCAGTTGGGTTATGCCAAGATTGGTTAAGGAGCTCCTCTGCTGTTGGAATGTCAAAGGCCTAAGCAAGAAAGGGAAACTGGTGTGGAGGACCATTCCTGCTGCTGTCTTGTGGTCCATTTGGGCTGTGAGAGGAACAGTAGGACTTTCTGTAATAGAGCTAAGAGCCCTGAAGATACAATTCAGAAAGCAGTGGGCAAGCTAATCTCTTGGGTGTCCGTTACTGAGGAGTTCAGAAGTCTGAATTTGTCTGTTTTATTTCGTTCTAACTCCTGGTGGAGATTGTAATTGCTGCGGTTTTCAGACTGCCTTCTGGGTCTGAATCCAGCTTGTATGTGTTGGTTTGAATAAAATTACATTACCTTTTTCCAAAAAAAAAAAAAAATCTTCTGGCTGGTGATTTAGGGTTTGCACAGTCTACATAGATGATTAGTGACTGGGATCAATTCTTTTGCCCAAGTTATTGGTTAGTGATCATATATGTTTCTTTTCATTTGCAGAGCAAAAGAAACAAAAAGTTTCTGAAATAAAAGCTGGATTGGATGATGCTGAGGCTTTGGTAATTTTCTTTTTCCCCTCTACTGTTTTTAGCTTGTGATATATTTTTTTCTGAATTTCTTCACTGTTGGTTGAGGTTTTTCTCTCTTTTTCATTGTTATTGAATTTGATGATCTTTGTCTGAGTTCTTCAGATTCGGAAGATGGACCTTGAGGCAAGAAGTTTGCAGCCAAGTGTAAAAGCTATGCTTCTTGCAAAGTTGAGGGAGTATAAATCTGATCTGAACAATTTGAAAAGTGAGGTCAAAAGAATCACATCAGTTAATGCTAATCAAGCTGCACGAGATGAATTGCTAGAATCTGGAATGGCAGACACACTGATGGTATGTGTGGGCCAATTTAGCTTGCTCTAAATTCAATTTGGTGTGAAAGATGGTGGTCTCTCTTGATGCTATTTACAAAATTCAGTTGGTCGTTGCTCTAAATTTACCTATACTGCTAATAGAAATGCTTCTGGCTTTCTTAACCTTGGATGTCTTTATTTGCAATAGGTTTTCTTTTTTCTACTGCGTTTTGAAGCATGCTGTCATGCTTTATTTTTTCCCATTACTTTTTGTGGGATATGTTCACCTTCAGTTGATTGGAGAAATAATCATTTAGCACTGATGAATGGACCTTACAGGCATCAGCTGACCAAAGAGGAAGGTTATTGATGTCGACTGAGAGATTGAACCACTCAAGTGAAAGAATTAAGGAGAGCAGAAAAACAATGCTGGAGACGGAAGAACTAGGTGTTTCGATCCTTCAGGATTTGCATCAACAGCGCCAGTCTCTCCTTCATGCTCATGGCACTGTATGTGTTTCACTTGGCCTTTTATTGATTACAGTTTTTGACGACTACCTACAATTGGTTTATCACATTAATTTGCAATTTCTTTCTTTTATTTATTGTTTTATGTGGAACATAGAATTGGATTAATGCTTACAATGTTTGACACCGACTAGAGCTCTTGGATATGGATAGCAAGAGTTCCAGAATTGCCAATATATAATAAATTTCTTTTCTTTTCTGTTAAAATCTCGTATTTACATATTGGTCAGAAAAAAAAAATCTGGCATTTACATGGTCAAGGAGTTGGAATACAACGTTAAGAGTTGGAGTCACTAGGACAAGAGTCCTAGATTTTTGGGATCAAGGGAAAAGGATTTTTTTTGGGTAGATAGGGGAAAAAGAATTCTATACACAGAAAGGATGTTTATGTGTGTGTGTAGACTCTAGAGAGAGAATTGTCATATTAGTCATATTTAGCAAACTGAGTCAGTTCAGTTGGCAAAAACTATTTCTTCTACTATGTGCTAATAGACGTAATTTATATAATGTATACTAAAAATTGACTTTTTGTGCAACTCGAATGTTTAGTTTATATGACATGTAAACTTATTTTTCTTTTACTTTGTTTTAATTTGAGAGGTTATGGACCCATGTAGGCAGTAATTATTTTTCTTTTACTTTGTTTTACTTTTTGGGGCTCTATGTGTGTGTACGTATTAATATGCTTTCTTTCTTTCTTTGCAGCTTCATGGTGTTGATGATAACATTAGCAAGAGTAAGAAAATTTTGACTCTCATGTCAAGAAGGATGAACAGGAACAAATGGATAATTGGTTCCATAATTGCAGCCTTGGTTCTTGCAATCATCTTGATCTTGTATTTTAAGCTGTCTCATTAGCAAGACATACTTGTCCAATTCTGTTGTGGCCGACGCTTTTGGCATTCTCTATAATTGGTGTGAATGTGTGAATGTTTATGAACGTTCTTCATATATCATTTTGTGAGTGTGGCGTCGAGTGAGCAAAGGTGGTCGTATCACCTTTGTTCTCATGTGTTCGGTCTGTCCATCTCATTTGCATCTGAAATGAAATAATTGAGAATTGAGACCCATCAGTTGTTCATCGGTCTAGGCTTTTGTTTCGGGCAAAGCGTTTTTCTCCCATGGATTTCTATATTAAAATTAAAAAACTAAATAACAAACGGTTTTGCCCCTTATAAATTTAGGTAAATTATTAATACCCTCTTGACGGTTTTTTTGCAAATACTTACACCTCCCCTAACCTTTAATCATTGCAGAAACTTCCCCTAACCTTTGAGGTTATACGCTTCAGTTAACTTGAGTGGATGGAGTTTGTTAAATCACTAAATTACGCTTTAGTAATTCGGTTTGCAAATACTTATTTTCTGTATACCGAAATTATTTTTCATCAACTAGGGGTGAGCATTAATTAAAATCTAAACCGAATAAATCGAAATTTTAAAAGTCAAACTAAAAAAATAAAACTGAACCGGAACTGAATTATAGAAAATTTGAAATAACTGAAATCAAAATTTTTGGTTTGATTTTCGGTTATTTTGGTTAAAACCGAATTTTAATAATATATTATATATTATATGTTGCATATTATATATTATATATTGCATATTATATATTATATATTGCATTTAATAATAGAAAGATCAGTTAATTTGGTTAATTGAATTTTTAATTCTAAAAACCAAATTAATCAAACCAATTTAACCAAAATTTGAAAAGACCGAACCGAACAAACTGAAAGAGAAATTTTTTGTTTGATTTTTTGGTTTTAACCGAATAATGCTCACCCCTATCATCAACCACTAAAGTTTTAAACCTTACTTTCACTTCTCGTCAAGCTCTTCCTAATCATTCCTGCCGAAAGCCCCAATAGTCCAGCACCCACAAGGATCTCAGATGACAAAGGACTTCCACATTAGGGCTTTAACTCTGAATCCGATCCGATTATTAAAAATTTTCATCTGAATTTGATCTAAAATCTGATCAGTTTTGAAGACCTTGAATTTTAATGAATTTGAATTTTCATCCCAATTTTTTTAACATATATATATATATATATAATAAATTAATATAAATATATATTGAATTTATTATGTGTATAATATAAATTTATATATTAAAATCAATAAATATTATAATACAATCAGATTTGGATTTTAATCGGATCAGATGGAGTCAAATCCAAATCTGATTCTGTTATTAATCAGATGTTGATTGCAAAATTTGAACCCAATCCGATTACATAAACAGATAATCTGAATCTGAATCTAATGTTGAATTGGGTTTGGATTTCAATTATCATTCACAGGTCAATCCCACAGTTTTCGTTGATCTTCCGTTTATTTGTTCTATTTCCAATTGGTTTCTCAAGAGCAGCAACTTCACGCAGGTGTTGTCTTGTTCTCTTTTCACYTTTCTAACTCCTCCTGCCAAAGGTGCGATGGGTTCGGGTGGCCTAACGAGATTAGCATTGCAGGTCTTTTTCATATGAACAGGAAAGAAGAGGTTGGGCTTACCCATGTGCAAACTGTTAGGAATCGATGTAGACTAGCTGCCATAAAGAGCTCAAGAGACTCGGATTAATTCAAACACTCGGGACCAAGGGGCGTATCCCCTGACCCAGGTCTCTCATACTGTCGTAAGTACGCTCGTTCCTGTCCTAAGATTGGTTCTTCCCTAGTCTGGCCAAGGCAAGCTATGCTAACGACCTCAACTGCACTACCTAGCCAACCATCTTCACCGAATGTTTTTCCCGTAGTGTCACAGTCTAACACAGTCTTAGCCTTGCCTACGCTTGGTAGGCTTACGTTAAGGGACACCATTGTCATTTTCACCTATAAGATTTTTGAGAAAAGTGATGTTATCTTCCAGCAGACCACCAAAAGCTTAACGTACTCTTTGAGGAGGGGTGGTCGACCTCCTTGAGTGTCTAACCTTGACACTCCTAGACTTTCATCCCTTGCGGGGCGGCCCTGGTTAATGGCTAGCATGGCTACCAGGGTTCCTCATGGGCGCACACATGCTCATGGGGACAGTGCATAAACCGGCACTGTGCTACTGACACTCAAGGGAGGCTTGGCATGCGGGCCTAGCTCAAGTATGACCCTTCACCACGCCAGCCCCTTGCCCAGGCTGAATGAACTATCCCGTTGCCCTTAGCGCACAGGTGTGTTCCGGCCCAGCGGTTGCCTATCAACGTGGCACACAAGTGCCCATCATCATCGGCGTATAGGAATCCCTTCTCATCGGTGCCCAGTCGCCTCTCATCATGGTCATCCCCCTTTAGCACGTAAGAGGTGATTCCCATGAACCGGCCAGAGCTAGCCGAGTGCCCCAACCATGCGACTTGAGGTCATGATCCAGTACTACTGACCTTGGTGGAGCCATCTCATCAGGCAACTCCTAACCCTAAGCATACAAAAAACTTATCCTGGCCTGCCTTGACCTAGATGCCGCACGGGTTTCTTCCGCTGTAGAACTACCCCCATAACAGTAGGGCATCACGTTCCTCAATGGCCAACTAGGAGCACGGAAGCGATGAAAGCATGCCCACTCTCGCCGGCTAACACAATGGATCAATGCAGGGGAGACCAGCCGAGAAGCCCAAGCTAGCTATCAGCTGCCGTACCCCGGCGGAGTCTAGTCTTCTTATCGAGATGAGCATGAGTGGTCAAGCGGAACTCTTGTTTATTGTTCATGCTTCTGCCCAAAGTACAGTGCTATAGTTAAAGGGGCGACTCCATGCAAGCATTAAGTCCTCCAATCAAGAACGAGAGAGCGGTTGGCTCAGGGATTGATTTAAGCCTTTAGCCGCCAATTTATAGACATGGAGCCAGGATCMAGAGGACAGACTTCCTTCCTTTCCTTCTTTCCCTGCGGCCCTTCCCTTAAAGAGCAGTCCAGTCAGTCAAGTCAGGCAATAGAGCAGTAGCCTTCTTTCCTTTCCGTAGGTAGATAAAGTCACTCTAACAAGAATCAATCTAAATGACTCTAAAAGAAATGATAAGATAGCCCTTTTTTTTGGTCAGTCGGAAGGAGGATCTATATATAGTTCATAAAGTTCCCCACTCCTGCTCGGTTGGAGCGAGCTCGTCCATCCCTTCCCGCTAGGGCCACTCCCGTTCCACGAATCGTGATCTAAATCAGCTATTTATTCACATGGTTTTATCAACCGTTCAGTGGTTTGCGAGGAATTCTCATTATTTCTTTACGAATTTTTTTTTTTTGCTTGATTTTGATATTAGTCGTAGGTTACATGATTACCAATTGAAACCAATGGTTTCAATCCAATGTTGATTCGAACTGTTGAATTGTTCAAACTATCATTTGGCCATGATTGGATCTGGTTTAGTTAAAACCTGGGATATGGTCAAAAATCGTTTGATCCAAATGGTTAATCATTGGCCTATTTGACCCAGTCACCAGGTCATGGGTTACACATAAAGTGCCTTTAACTCATTATTTTCACTAAAAAAGTTAATTTTTTTACTTAAAATTGCAATTTTTAGCATTTTTTTATTAAATTTTAATATGCATTAATTGATCAATCCAAGCCCAGCCTGGGCTAAAGCCCAACCTAATTGCATCAAATTTCAATTCAGGTTGGGCCTGAATTGAACAATTTTGACTTGACTTAGTTAGGGCTCAAGTAGGGCTCGAACCTTATGCCCAATTCTTAGAGTTGGACATGGATTTAAGTTAAATCTGACCCAACCTGCCCGAGTTTCTAGTTGGAGGCAAAAAATGGTTCAACCACCGAATAAGAAAGTTACACTAAGGTATCAATGATGAAAGCACAACGCAATCTCTAACCGCTGAAGATACAAGTCATGCAATTGCAGTGCAATGGCCATTGCTGCGGTGGCTGAGGCTGTAGCTCTGCCAGAGTCGTGTATTGGATGGTTACAAATTACAATCAACTCAAGCTTTGCACGTGGTCATAATGTTCGCTGACAGACCCGCATGACCATATGGTTATGATGCCATGGAAGAAAATGGAGTTCTATAAAGCAATGTACATAAGTGGTATTGTTTGACAAATCTTTTTTGAAAGATCTTAAAGTCAAAAGATGTAGTGGATTTTTACATAAAAATTTTAGCAGCCCACAGCCTGTTTGGTTGGAGACGTGTGTTTTCACATGAAGACAAAACAAAATAAGTGGAAAAGTTTTATTTGGAGCTTCCTGAAAATAGCCCAAAACAGGCTTTTTGTATCTTTTTGGGGCTACGTCTTTTGGTGGTTAAACTTTTTCTCAACCAAATGGAAAATGATGAAAATACAAGCTGACGGACTTCTAAAAAATTGAAAATTTGTATGAAAAAACGTGTCAAACAGAAACTGTTAAGGAAACGAAAACAATAGAAGATTACTAAGCAGCTGTTTGGCATCATTGCCGTTTCCTAAAGCAACGGCGCCACATCCGCGCCATGTAAGAAAAAATGGTGCTCTAGGAAACATCCATCTGTTTGGAACTATTTTTTCATAGAAAACGATGCTTCAAGCCATGCCTTGGAAATCGGGAAGGCATGGCTTGGAGCAACGCCAAATTTGGTGTTTCCTAGAGCTGTAGCTTGTTGCTGCCAATAGGGTAGTAATGTGGCACTAGATAATGGGTAGAAGTGCAAAAAATGTTTCCTAGAGCATTGGTATCAAACAGAAAAAGTTGTTGCTCCCGGAAATGTCCTACCTGGCAGCAACGATTCCAAACAAAAAAAAAGGAATGGTGCTTCCAACCACACATAAGAAAACGGTGCTGCAACTACAACATGGATGCCAAACACTAGCTAAGTTAGGAAAGGAAGGTCAAAGCTGTCAAGGGATCTCCATGAATCAAACGCTATTGCGAGTGTTAAATTTTGATCCAAGGTTTAATTAAATCTTGTTTACCCCCACACCTACCAAAAAAACAAATAATAATAATAATAAGGGTAAAATATAAAAAAACCTTCCCTGAAGTTTCTAGCAGTCATAAAAACCTCCCTTATAGTTTCATTTTAACAAATGCCTCCCCTAAACTTTCGAGAAATTCAACAAAAACCTCCATTTTGTCACTTTTTCAGACAACCTATTAGACTGATGCATTAGTTTTTTCCAAATACCCATTCTACCGTTTTATAAATTATTTTACATACAAAATTACTGAAATAACCTTGTTTTAACTTGACAAAACCTTCCTAAACGGTCATCTTCTAGCGTTTTTATTGAGTTAAAAAAGGGTTATATCAATAATTTTGTATATAAAATAATTTATAAAAGTAGAATGGGTATTTGGAAAAAAACCAATGCACTTGTCTAACATTTTTCTGTCTGAAAAGGTAACAAAAGGGAGGTTTTTGTCAAATCTCTCAAAAGTTCAGGGGAAGTATTTGTTAAAATGAAATTATAAGGGAGGTTTTTTTTATTGTTAAAAAGTTTAAGAAAAGTTTTTTGTATTTTACCCTAATAACAAAGATATCATGGCTTATGCATCAAGATTTCGCTGGCTTAAATCACATATTTATCTCTCCAATCACATATTTACAACTACCACGTTGGGAAGAAAAGGGGGTCAAGGGGAAGTTATTAGTGATGTATGCACCGAGTAATAATAATAATAATAATAATAAAAGCTTCTGAGTTACCATTCTTGTTGTAGGCCCCAATATCTCTTCCTTCCATCTTCTTCTTTGGCTCTCACGCCAAGAAATATATCGAGGATGCATAGCCTCCTGACTTGCACGTATTTCACAACATCTCCTTCCTTTTTTTTCTTTCCAAAAGGTCTATAATGCTTCAGCACCATTGGAGAGACTACTTCCAGGGAAGCAGTGTCAACATAACACATAAGCTAAAAATTTTTCAATCTAAAAATATTTGAATTAAAACTTTCACCATCCAGACGTAACCATCGAACAAGTCTTTTGCTAGTGCTCGCTACTAAATCCTTGGCTTTGGAATGTGCCCTTATATCTAAAATGCAGTTGACTTGACCACTTCAAATGAAAATTAAATATCACCATCCATGGGTATTTATTTTGAAAATTTTAAAGCATGAGTTCATCAACTTCTGTTGGGTTTTTAACGTTGACCTAACAGAAGGGTCAGTAAATATAATTTATCCCAAATGTAAGGTGAAGTTTTATGCAGTGCTTAAAAAGGTCGGGGGAGGTTTAAGTATTTGTTAGAAACATTAGGGAGGTATAAGTAATTTACCCCTAGCTATTCCGATAGTCTGCAGCAGTTGTGTACCATTCGAATTCTTTGTTTCTTTCGAGTCCAAATCCTACCAAGCTAGTCGAGTAAGAGAGCAGTAGACGAGGCGGACTGCCTTCTCTTCCTCCATGGCGACTGTCACCTTCTCTCCTCCCTTTCGTTTCTCTCCAATCTCATCATTCCCCTCTAAATTTAGAACTCGAACCAGGTTCATTATTCCGCCGCTGTCCTCTTTGACCCCCCGAGCTGCTCTCTCCGATCCTTTCGTTCTTGAAATTGCGCAAACCTTAGAAGACTCTGTTTCAACCCCTTCTCCTTCTTCTTTGCCACCTCCACCTCTTCAAAAACTGCGGGACACCTCTTCTGAGTCCATCCTCTCCATGTCTTGGCCTACTCGCAAAGACGAACCTTTTCGCTTCATCGATACTTCTTTCATCAAACAGTCTCGGATTCATCCAATTCCGATCCCTTCCCCTTCCTCTGATCTTGCCGGTATCTCGTCCGATACCCAATTTCCCAGTCTTGTCATCGTAGATGGTCACATCGTCCCCTCCGCCTCCCAGCTCTCCGGATTTCCGGACGGTGTCTATGTGGGCAGCATTTCAGGTATCTCCTCGGAGGCCATTATGGAAAAGGTACTCCAGCTTGTGTCTGACTTCCACGACGGTGACCTTTTTTGGTCCCTCAATGGAATTGGAGCTCCTGATGTTACTGTTATATTCGTCCCTGCCGGGTGTCAGGTCGAGAAGCCCTTGCATTTGAGATTTTATTCTCGTGAGGGAGGGGAAATTGGGTCTAATTATATGCCCTTGTCAAGTCCGAGGGTGTTGGTGTTGGTGGAGAAAGGAGGGGAGATTGGAATTATTGAGGAGTATTCCGGCGGTGATGCCGATAAATGTTATTGGGCAAATTCTGTTATTCAGTTGGCGCTCGAAGAGGAGGCGAAAATTCACCATTCTTACATACAGGCACAGACTGCAAGTGCTGCCCATATCAAGTGGACCTTTGTTCGACAGGTAGATTACTGTTCTTGCTTTGTTTTCTTAGGTGGGTTGTAATTGAATTAAGTAAAACTATACATTTCTTTTATCTTATAATTGACCATAAAGGGTTTAAGCAGTCCAACTTCATAATGGTATGTTTACGGTTGCGTTTGCTTAGTTCAGAACAATTGAGTCTGAAGTCTAGAAATTATACCTTATACATTCATGTGACTGTGTGCCTATATGGTCGTAGAGACTCATACATTTCATATTTCCCACTTGGTTTATAAAAATTGCAGCCTGAAACATAAAACCATAGATATATGTATACGATGGGCATAATAGTAACTCCTTTGGATTTGAATTTTATTAAACAATATTGGAAGTTTTAATAAACAATGTTGGATGTGAATTTGTTCTTTTACTATAAAAAAAAGTATTTTGTTTTTTGTAGAGGTTCTGATAAATAACCAGGATTTTGATAATGTTTGAAGTTGACATGCAATCAGTTAAGTGATGAAGAGTTCTGAAAGCATGTATTAAATAATAACACATCAAATCATAAAGTAGTCAATAAGCTTCTCCATTCCCCTTTCTTGTAAACATGCAAATCCCTTACAATAGGTGGAAGTCTAGCAAGGTGCTAGACTGAATGCTTATGCACACATTAGGCATGGATGAAGTTACAGTTGGAGACCTGCAGAAGGGAGCTTAAAGTACTGTTTGCACTTTGTACATTGCCATGAAATCGCAATGGGTATTTCTTTGACAGTGTAACTCACCAATCTCCATTGATACACAGAGCAGTGAGTAATGAGTAGAACTGACTGATCTAAATCTTTTATCCAGTTAAGAACTTAGCAAGACTCAAGAAGGGAAAATCCCATGTAAATGGACCTTTGGTCTACTTACAGACCCATCTTGACCATAGGAAGGTTTGTTTTCAGTGAATCCTCTCACCCAGCCCTCCTCTACATAAGCTCATATTCTTCAATTCTAGGAACAAGTACAAGATCTATCTAATTTGTGGAATATGAAGGGGAAAGGGTGTTAATGGTGTATAACAATTGTCTAGATACTCAACTCAACAAAACCTTATTACAATTGTTTGGGGTAAGACTACACAAACCATATTTAGTTATGGCAACTAAAAAATACATCAAAGGTGCTTAACATCAACATTTAATGAACGCTTAATAAGTTGGCAAGCATCCTTTATGTCAGTCTCTATTGGTTTGTATTAAAACTCTATACCAAGATGTAGTGTAAAACTAATTACATATTCTGATAGAAAGTAAATATCAATCTGTTCACAAACTATTGAGGTGTATTTAGTATTATAATTTTGGATTTGGCACAATAAAAACGTTCTTTCCTCATTATACAAGTATCTGGTGTATATTTCTATTAGCCTTTTGGAATACCACACATTCCATATTGAGATGTACTGGGAAAATACTTTAAGCAACGGGAGATGGTGCAAGGTTGATGTTCATCTTGGGAATATGATTTTCATGCAAAATTTGTGGAGGGTGATGGTGAAAAATCCTAGGAGAATTTCTGTTGAGCAAAAATAACCTGGTGTTATGTGTCAGCTCTTGCCCCATTACCATCATTTATAATTCTTATATGTAGATTGAAATAATTGTACTGCATTATCATTTATCTATAATTTATGAATCTAAGCTTGTTATGGTTTCAAAATTTTCAACAGGAATCATCCAGTAACTATGAACTTGTAGAGATAAGTGCTGGTGGAAAATTAAGCAGGCATAATCTCCATGTTCAGCAAGTAGGCCCAGACACAATTACAGAATTGTCAGCATTTCATTTATCTGTAAGCGATCAGACCCAAGATCTGCATAGCAGATTAGTGTTGGACCATCCCCGAGGCTATTCGCGGCAGCTTCACAAGTCTATTGTGGCTCATTCATCAGGACAGGCTGTGTTCGATGGGAACATTAAGGTCAATAGGTATTTTCTTTGGCTTTAACCCATTTCTTCGTGTTGAGCCAGAGCTACTGATAAGTTGACTATTGCACTTGTCTTTTGGTGCTAAGTGCTACATTTGAAAGGGGAGGGAAGTCCTGATGATTTTGGCATTTTGTGCAATTTTTCCCTCATAGCAATTTCAATGTAGTGGTAACATGTGACCATGAAGGATTCTTTGTTAAAATATGATGTGGTACCCAGTATACCGTAGCACATGTTATTGGCATCAAGGTTCCAAATATTGATACAGACCGATATTCTAGATGGGGCGTATCGGTCTGTACCATTGGGTGCTTTATTTTTCTTTTAGTTTTTTTTTCAAACTTGTTCACGGGGGTTGGTATAAGGCCTGTCTACCCCCTAAAACAGGCCAAACCCCGAAATAATGCTTATAGTAGCATATCGGTGGGCCACCTGACACCGATGACCGATACGATATGTATTGGCCGAATATGAGCCGATACATTGTGAAATTTTGATCCTTGATTGGCGTTTAGAAGCTTTGTGGAATTTAGCGAGGTGACTACAAAACATGACTCTTTTTTTTATAGATTACTACAAACATGACTTTTGACCACAAAAATGAATTTCACTTGCATACTTTTTTTCATTATTTCTATTATACATGCAAGCTCTTCATTGGACAACCTCTATGTGCAGATATAGCACGGTTTAATGAACTGATTAGGATGAATGTTTGTGAGCTTAGGGGTGGAACTTTGGAAGGAGGATTTTAGAAGGCTTCCAGGTGGGAGAGGAAGAAGGGGTGGTTTTGCTTCAATATGCCAATGACACTATTATTTGTTGATGCATCTCTAGAGCATATGGAGAGTATTAGGATGATTCTGACATGGTTTGAAGTAGTCTGTAGACTGGAGTAAACATTCATGGAAGTGAATTAATGGCAGTGGGAGATGGAACTAATATTGAGCAGCTAGCAGACTTTGTTGGATGCAAAATAGGTAAACTGCCTTCAAAATATGTGGGGATGCCACCAGGAGAAAGATGTGTACTAAGAAGATTTGGGAGCTGGTGGTAGAGAGAATTGAAAAGAAATTAGCTTCATGAAAGTCAAGATACCTGTCCAAAGGAAGGAAACTGACACTAATAAAAAGTGTGCTGACTTCTTTTCCAACTTGCTCTCTTTGTTTCCAATTCTGGCAAGCATGGCTAAGATAATTGGAAAGAAGATGAGGGACATCTTGTGGCAGGGGTGGAAGGTAGGGTTTAAATTCCACTTAGTTAAATAGAATAAGGTATGCAGCTTAAGAAAGGCAGGGGGCTTAAGGGTGAGAAGAATGAGCAAATTTAATGTAGCTTGCTTGGGTAAGTGATATTGGAAATGGAGTGAGCAGCTGATTAGTCCATGGAGACAAATCATTATGGAAAAATATGGCTCAAGCAATCTCAATTGGGATCCGGGAGAAGCCAACTTATCTTATGGGTGTGCTTGATGAAGGAGTATCCAAAAGTCAGGAAGGGAATTCAAGAAGGTGGTTAGGTATGAAGTAGGGCATGTGACAAGGATAAAAATATGGCAGGACATTTGGTGTGGAAATCAAACCCTTAAAGAGTCTTTCCCAACACTGTTCGAAGTTGCACAGAATAAAGAATGTTTAATTTTAGAGGTTTTCTCTCAAGAAAGGGAAACGGGTGTTTGGTGCCCAGTCTTCAGAAGGAAACTGAATGATTGGGAGTTGGGGCAAATGGCAATGGATGGAGCTGATGCAAAGGATAAGCAGAATCAAACTGGTCAGAAAAAGAAGTGACAAAAGGTCTTATGTGGGAAAAATTAGGCATCTTCACAGTAAAATCTTTTTACAACAAGCTCTGTTGTGAAGAGGAGAGTTTCCCAGAGAACAAGGTGTGGAAAATTGTTGCTCCCCTTAAGGTAGTGTTTCTGGTATGGACAGCCACCTTGGGAAAGCGTTTAACAGCAGACAAACTTGCTAGCAGAGGGTTGTTGCAGAACCAAGGTGTGTAATGTATGGAGAGGCCACTGAAGAAGCAGATCACTTGTTTATCACTGCAAACTTGCAAGGAAATTATGGGTGAAACCTTTAGGTCTCTTTGAGGTTCAGCTGTGCCTTCCAAACTTCCAAAGGATCTGAAGGCTTTTCTTTGGGGCTGGCAGCAGAGAGGTCTGTCCAAGGGAGGGAAAATCATTTGGAGAGTGGTGCCGGCAGCAGTTATTTGGTCAATCTTGACAGGGAAAAATAGGAGGCTTTTTGAGAATAAACATAGTTCTGAAGATGTATTATTGAAAAGTTTTGGGGGAGATTATATTCTTGGGTAGCAGTACACAAAGGTTTCACGGGTATACCTTTTTATTTATTTATTCATTTTGATCAGCAACAGATTTCAAGGGTATACCTTACAGTCTTTTGATATTTCTAAACTTTTTGTATCTATGATCACAGAATAGGTGCTGTACAGAGATGTTGATGTTCCCCTGCTCAGTAATTTATTGTACAGGGCCTTGTATATGTTTTGTTCGGTTATTAATATAACACTTTACCTTTTCTGAAAAAAAAAAAAAAAAAAAGATTAGGATGCATGCTTGTCTTGTTTCGAAACAGAGGCCATTGTTAACCAATGGAAGAGCTTTTTTGGACATTGTATATAAATCCTGTTTCTAATTTAATAAAATTTTCAGTTATCCATAACAAAAGAAACAGAAAATTTGGGAAAAAGGGAAAGAAAGAAACAAAGAACCTTAGTTGCCTTAAAAGTGTATGATCTTTTCTGTTATTTTTTACAGAAGAATAGCTGATAGTGCATGATCTTTTTTGTTATTTTTTACAGAAGAATAGATAATATTCCTTTCATTTCTCCTATGCCTTTTCCATGCAAATGGGCTCATCCTGAAGTTGGTTATTTTATGCTATATTTGGATGTGTTGCTCATAGAATTGCAATGTTGTTACAGTCATTTGTTTATGCGTCTACATTAGAGAACCGCTAAAGCATATACTGCTGCTTTTCCTCCAACTATTGTTATTTTACATAATCTTCAAGGAATAGCAAAAGGAATTTAGGTGGCTATTAATTGGGAAATCAATGGTCTTGCCATTGAGGCTCTGGGATTTTTAGCTTCTTACCAAGGCCCTGCTGTTCTAGCTGTTTTTTACACTAAAGTTCTATCCCCGATTGTAGGATATTATTTTGAAGGATTTCCATTCTATACCTATTTCTGATTGTAAATCTGTTGTTTTCTTTAATATAGCAGGTTGAGGTCTGCCTTAACCCCTGCTGACGTTTTCTACAAAGATAAAGTTACACCTGTGGTTTTTCACAATTGAATCATATTCACTATTCTGCTTGAATTCCCTCACCAGCACCTTCTATATCTTAACCTATAAGCTCTCTGGTGTTGGTAAACCTTACACTTTTTTACATGTATAAGTTTGTCAGTCCAAATGCATCTTTTAACTTGCATTTAAACCTTCATTTCTTACATGAGAAGTGTAAACTTAAACCTTTTAGTTTATTAACGCACTATTTAGCTATACTATAATGCCTTCATAGTTCTTAGTAATAGCTATTTGCTGAGTGTATGCCAAGGTTCATAGGGGAAGGTTATCCTTGACTATTTTGTAAAATTTATTGCTGAGTGTACCTACCCAACTGGTAGATTTACTTTCAATCCGGAAAATGTTTGATATTCTATGCTTTGGGTTTATTTTAGGGAACAGAGGAGAGTGGTGTGGGATTGTTTAATGCCCATTAGAAATTACAAGAAAAAGACCTCATTTGGTGTAAATTTGGAATTACATCCCAGTTCAACAGATGCCTAACAATTGATTGATCTATTGAGGCCATGTTTGGGAGTGCTTAAAAACAAGTGCTTATTTGGGTCATTAAGCACTTATTGGTATTTGGGAAATAAGCCCGAAATAAGTGCTTATTTTAAAAATAAGGGCTTATTTTTTAAGCCCAATTTTTCAGTTTTTTTTTACTGCTTATACAATAAACACTTATTCAATTTTTTCTTCCAAAATTATCCCTAGTTGAATTTTAAAATACCACTTATAATATTATCCCTAGTTGAATTTTACAAAAGCACTTTTAAAAGCACTTTTACAAAAGCACTTTTATAAAAGTACTTTTACGAAAGCACTTTAATAAAATACTTTTATAAAAGCACTTTTGTGAAAATACTTTTACAAAAGCACTTTTACGAAAGTACTTCTATAAAAGTATTTCGTAAAAGTGCTTTCATAAAAGTTTTTTATAAAAGTAATTTAATAAAAGTGCATTCAAAGGGTATATTTTGTAAGTTTGAAAGAAAATGAAGGACAAAATAGTCACAAATGCTTATTTAAGTGTTTATTAGAGAAAAAGACTACCAAATGCCTAAAATAAAATAAGTGCTTATTTTAAAAAATAAGCACTTGAAAAAGTTGGGTGCCAAATGCAAATAAGTGCTTATTCGAATAAGCACTTGTTTTTAACTTAAGCACTCCCAAACATGGCCCAAGTGTACATTATTAAGGGGAAAACATTTATTAAATTGTTGATTTGACCGGTGGTTCACCACCTCCATCTCAATAAAGTCAAATCACAAGTTTTTTTGGTAAAGAAATCATCAAGTTAGATATTGCTTACTTACCTGTTTCTCATTAAGAGAAATGTTTGCTTACCTGTTTCCTTATTCTACAGATATGCACAACAGACAGATGCTGGGCAGTTGACAAAAAACCTCCTACTTGAGCCCCGAGCAACAGTGAATGTGAAACCCAACCTACAGATTATTGCTGATGATGTCAAGTGCTCACATGGAGCTGCGATAAGCGACCTTGAAGAGGATCAAATCTTCTACTTCCAGGCACGTGGCATTGACTTGGAGACAACAAGAAAAGCTCTAGTCTTTGCCTTTGGTTCTGAGGTTGTGGAACGGTTGCCTTACAACTCCCTTAAGAAGAAGGTACAGAGCCATGTCAAAGCGTTGCTGGAAACTACATCCGGAGGTGCCCCATAAAGAGTGTGATAAATTACTAGGAGCTATACTGGTGCTTGGTTCATTTTTTTTTCTCCTCCAACTGAAAGCACAAGATGCCTTCTCTGAGAAGTAGAAGGAAGTTTGTTAAGCAAACTGTACCTTAACGGCTGGGAAAAGAGAATGTAATTTAAGGGAAAAAATTGAAATGAATATCTGTTCCTACCTCCCTTTTAAGGGCATGTACCACTCTGTTCAGTCACCTATTTGCATTAGAGTGGGTAAACCACATTCCTTGACTAACCTCGAAATTTCCTGTTGTTGACACTTATTACCTGAATTCTGGTAAGGGTTTTCTTCTACTCAATTATCATATCCGCTCTCAGCTAAACGAGTGGTTAAACTCCTGCTCCTGTACTTGCTAATTAACTGTCCTGTTCACTGGGCAGATTGTTGAGAGAATCTAATTACTCAATGCAACGGCTGGACATGGGACCAAAAAAAAACAGCTGGATGCCTGGATGATGTGATTTGTGAATTTTACTCCTATATCAATACTTTCTAAAAATGATGAAGATTGAAGAATAATTTGTTATTAACCGAGGAAGGAGAAAAGGAGTCGGGGGATGCACCGAAGATTTTAGGCCCAAACCCAAAAATATGTTCAGTGCCGATAGAACCAGTTATAGTCAAGGTTTAAAGTATCAATACTTATTGTATCAAGCTTTTCGATACATCCTTATAGGTGTATGGGGTTTTGACTGGTTTAGGGAGTGGACGGACCACCTTATCTACCGGCGTACTGGACATAATGAATTAGTTCATGAGTAGATTGAGGTACATTAATTCTTTCACCATCCCATAATAGCATCCGATCTCACTTTTCACCCCTTGTCTTAACAATTGCAGCTGTATATGAATAATTAATATGCCTATCTCGAGTTAGGGTCCTCTCAATTGTAGTTTCCATTTTTAATTCAAGACCAGTATCACTATTTTGAAGAGCCCATAAATAAGTCATTTTGCTTTTAGAAAGGCGCGTTCACCAATCACAACCCGTTGATTGATTGGATATTGCCGGAGCGGGTCTAGTCTAGGATTTCATTTCAGATGACCTCGAAATCGTATCAGCTCTAGTGGTTAAAATGCAGTTCTGGGTGCTTTTCGTTGCCGTACATGCAGTGGGTTTGTGAGAGACTGGCAGCACAATGCGATGAGATGGCCGACTCATCGTTTCTGTGCGTCTTTGCCGCACTACTACCGCTCCCTCTTAAGAGCATGCGCCCATCGAACCTCTCTCGAGGAGGGCGAGAAGCTCCATGCCACTCTCATCAAGAATGGCCTCGCAGCCTCCCCCGGCGCTTTCCTTCACAACGCACTCCTCCATCTGTACGCCGCATGCGGCCTCGCATTGTCCGCTCGTCGAGCATTCGATCAAATTCCCTTTACGCACAGGGACACTGTCGACTGGACCACCTTGATGGGCTGCTACGCTCGCAATGGGCTGCCAGAGGAGGCGCTGGTTCTCTTCCGTCAGATGCGAGGAGAGGGCGTACGGCTCGATCAGGTATCCTTGGTCAGTCTCTTTGTCGCGTGCGCCCGCCTCGGAGATTTTCGCGCTGGGGCGCAGGGGCATCTCTGCATGATCAAAAGTGGACTTCATTTCACAGTCACCGCGAGTAACGCAGCTATGGACATGTACGCCAAGTGTGGGCGAATGGACGATGCGAGACGGGTATTCGACGAGATGAGCGAGCCGAGTGTTGTCTCTTGGACAGTAATCCTCACTGCTACGCTGAAGTTGGAGGGGACACAGAAAGGAAGACGGGTGTTCGATGAAATGCCGGAGAAAAACGAGGTTGCCTGGACAGTGATGATCTCAAACTATGTGGAGAATGGGTTCTCTAGGGAAGCTCTTGCGCTGCTTTCCAGTATGCTATCATGTTTGTGCTTGGAGCTTAACCATATCACTCTCTGTTCCCTTTTGTCATCCTGCTCACTCTCTGGAGATCTTACGGTGGGAAGGTGGGTTCATGTCTACGTCTTGAAGACAATGAAGAAAGAGATGCATCTTATGGTGGGAACGGCTTTGGTGGACATGTATGCCAAATGTGGGAGGATAGATGCTGCTTGCCGAGTCTTTGAGGGTATGTCTCGCCGGAATGTTGTAGTTTGGAATGCCATGCTCGGTGGTCTTGCCATGCATGGACGTGGCAGGGCGGTGTTGAATCTTTTTCCTCGCATGGTTGCTGAAGTCAAGCCAGATGATGTAACCTTTGTGTCCATTCTGAGTGCCTGTAGCCACTCGGGGCTGGTTGATCAAGGTTGCCGCTACTTCCATGACCTTGGTCCTGTGTATGGGATAATGCCTAAGGTTGAGCACTATGCTTGCATGGTAGATCTATTGGGACGGGCAGGTCGACTGGAAGAAGCTGAGATCCTAGTGAAGAAGATGCCAATTCTCCCAAATGAAGTTGTGCTTGGTTCGCTCTTGGCCTCCTGCAGTCTCCACGGAAAGCTTCAACTGGGCGAACGTCTTCTGCAAGAGTTAGTTCAGATCAATCCCCTCAACACTGAATATCATGTGCTGCTGTCCAACATGTATGCATTGGCTGGAAGGCGCGACAAAGCTGATTCTCTCCGCCAGCATCTCAAGAACATGGGAATAATGAAGGTGCCTGGCATGAGCTCTATTCACCTGAATGGCCAAGTTCATCAATTCAGTGCAGGGGACAAGTCACATTCTCAAATCAAAGAGGTGTACACTATGTTGGATGAGATGATTCGAAGGTTGAGATTGGCGGGTTATGTCCCTAGCACTTCTTCTCAGATATTCTCTACTTCTGAAAGTGGGATCGACGATGCAGATGTGCAAGAGGAGAAAGAGCAAGCGTTGTTCAATCACAGTGAGAAGCTGGCTATCTCCTTTGGGCTTATGAGCACAAAACCTGGTATGCCCCTCTACATATTTAAGAACCTGCGGATATGCCAAGATTGCCATTCTGCAGTAAAGCTTATTTCCAGTGTTTATGGCCGGGAAATTGTCATTAGAGATCGTTATCGCTTTCATTGTTTCAATCAAGGCTCGTGTTCTTGTTCCGACTACTGGTGATCATGACCAAATCCTGCTAATCAGTCAGAGCTGCGGTAGAGGGACCTAATTTCTTACTGGGGATCAACGAGTTACTTTGGTTGGAATGCTGGAGCCTGGAGGTGGCAATTTACGTACTATTAGGTATTAGTACGTCATCATATATGATGGGCATTATAGTTGAATTGTCAGTGTAGTTGGCAAAACGATTCATTTTCCACTATCACCATCTACGTTAGTTTGCTCATAGTTCTCATGCTTCCACAAGAAAAAGGACTTGGATGGCTAGAACACAGCCTACACATTCTAGGAAAAGAGAATGTAGTAATAATAGATCATTAGGGGGACATTCAGGGATACAACTTGGGACAGGTTAACCTAAACCCAACCCAAAAAATTTGGGTTGTTAGGGTTAAACCCTTGGGTAACCCAATAATCTGAATTCAGAATATGATTGTAACATTGCAGATCTCTCTGATCTTGTTTACTTATCAAATGCGTATAAATGTATTTACACATGAATTATACATGCATATACATACATATACACAGTTATGTATATATAAATATTCACATTATGTATGTATATATAAATATTCACATGGTTCCAGACCTGTTCATGGGCTGGGCTCGGGCTTGGCTTTTGCCAGAATTTGAATGGAACCAGCCTCAAGCCCGAGACCAACACAGTGCAAAGTCAGGCTCAAATACCGGGCCATGAACACGTCTAGGTTCCAATATCAGCAAGATTGGCAAAATCCCCCCATTTATGTAGGGGTGATATGAAATATTTCAGGAACCTTTTCGGCTAGTATCTCTAATGTTTAACCGATATATCAATAATATTTCAAATTTCATTGATAAATTATGCATTTTCCAGCAAGATTGGCAAAGTCCCCCCATTCTTTAGTAATTGGATGGTTGGCTTACTAATTTGATATGATTCACATAATAAATCATTATAATGAAAATGCAAAAGAAAAAAAAAAAGGAAGAGAGAGAGATGCTTATTTAAAAAGAGAGTGGACAAAATACTAAAAGGCAGACAGAGAGATGCCCATTTGATATGCAGTCATTTGATATGGATTTTTTGAGCCTCAAAAGTGCAATTATAATTTTCCTAATAATTCCATAAAGTTTTGACAAATTCCGTGCTTTTAGAAAATTTCCTTCATTTCTTTAGACTTTCCGAACATCTAAGCAAAATATCCCTGAAACTACATGATAAAATGTCTGCCATTATTGAAATTGCAATTCATGAATATGCGTTATATATCTTACCATCCAAGTGTCCATGCAAATGCTTTTTCCCTAGACATTTCTTCCAATGTACTGAGCTTGTAGTTACTGGCTGCTACAAACTTGTGATTATGAATGAACAAGTACATTATTTATCATAAATTAAAAGGAAATGGCCACTAATTACTGCTTCACTCCCATCTCTAAATGCTTGACTTTTTTTGGTGTTGATGATACTTCAAACTGTCCAAAGAGATTTGAACATTCTTGAAGTTAATTATGTTTTAAATCCTTTGATGGTCTCCCCTCCCCCTTACAGTTAGCCGGGAACTTTGATCAGAAGGGGAATTGTCAATTTGTCAGTAGAAGGCAGCCAACTCAAAGATGGGAAGATAGACCCAGCACATATCGATAGTTCAAGGTTGGCAACTTGTATAATTTGGCTTTATATTGACATTAAATAGGTTTTAACTAGTTTTTTTTTTCTTTTTGAATTTTTACCTTTCACGTTTTTATTTTTGACCGGGTCAAGTGCTTGGCCCAAATGGTTGGTCTGATCAATCCACGACCCCGTAGCCTCAGCAGCTCGATATCCGGTCCAGGTTTCTGAACACTGGTCAATGGTTCCAATTCGACTATTTAGCCAATAGCCACTTCCATAGGCTGCGTCTTTCATCTTCCTAAGAAGAACCCTTTTAGGACTCTTCAAGTCTTCATTTATTTACATCATATCCTACAGCATAGAACATGGCAACCAAGAGAAAGATGCAGTCCATAAATAAAATGAACTATATGGCACCAATCAATTTCAAACCTAAACGACTAAACCTAAAAGCTAACATAGCACAAAGGAGACGATTTTTACAATTGTACATGACTTTCTTCACTTGAGGAAATTGAAGGATTCTCCCTTTCTCCGACTACTTGGATTTTTTTCTTTTTGCATGGGTAAAATTACTTGGAATTGATAAACAACCTTTTCGCCAATAGCCGGATGCCAGCATTCTGCTGATAATCATACACGTCCAAGGAAAAATAAGCATCAACCAGAGTTCCTGGAACAAACAAGGAATCAAGCTCTGCAGCATCAAATCTACTAAATACAAGCCTTTGGGCACTGCCAGAAGCTTCTTTCTGATATATCTCTGTGCCGTAGACGGAAATGTCCCCAGTTGGTACTATGGGTATGCTACAGTAAGAAGACAATAAAAATTAAGTCATTAGTGAGGTTTCACAAGGATTAGTCTGGTGGTACTTAATAAGGGTAGAGACGTTCATAAAAAGTAATGAAATATGAAAAAGTATGCGTAAGAATCCCCCCCCAGGTCCCTTCATATAGGTTAACCAAAAAGCCTCCAAAATTAGATTATTATTTATTCATACTTATTTAGATGACCACATAAGAGGAACAGGAAGGATCTTAACCTTATAAAACTACCAAAATTTTTTTGGTATTGGTAATCTATCCATTTAGGGGCCATCAATACTTGGCGTAATGGTAATATCTCATGCTGACAAGCATGAGAATGCAGGTTCAGGTCTTAGGGAGGCCACTCTGTGCAAAAAAAAAAAATGCCAAAGGTTAGGACATTACCCCCTCTACCCCTCGGCCCTCCCAAGACCCCAGATAGCTGGAGCCAACATAGGATAATGGTAAAGTGGCCTCATCCCAATCTCATAGCCAATATTTCCTGAACATGACCAAGAATAAAAACCCTATTGGCCATGAAAGCATACTGATTTGATGCATTAATGTAGATTAATACCCCCTCCCCCAGCACATTTGCTGCCATTTCATAAAGTTTGTAAATGAACCACTATTTTCCCATTGAAATAAGAATAGTAATGGAAATAAGAACTTACTGCAGCCTAATAGTTGAATTTGAGAAGCCATTCTTCCTATTTACAACAGGCCTCCATTCCGAATCACTACCAGATTCCATAGATAACCTTTGTGCGAGGTGGTCACAGGTATCCAAAACCTGACACAGGCTAGGTGATGGATCCACCACAATACTCAATCGGGGCCGTCCAGCATGGTCAAAAAATTTTGTGCTTACTCCAAACCTCACTCTTAGTTTTGTACAATAAAGCTGCAAAAGAACATCTTTGTGCAATAGTTGTATTCTCTTGATGCCTCGATAAAATGGGACAAGGGACACACTGATAGAAGGAATTGAGATTTCCTCAGGTTCCAAGAATCCAGCATAGCCACTACAATCCCCTGATGCAGCTTCACTGCATGATGTCCCCCGAGTGTCTGATGTTGGATTTCCTTCCTGTAAGGTGCCCTGTGAGCTACAATAACCATTGGGTGTGGCTACAATAGATGTCCTGTTAGAGTCCAGGACAGTTGGTTCTTCCATGTTGGCATCCAATTGCAGGGATTCTACATTCATTTGATCAATAAGTTGGCTCATGTCAAAATGATCTGCTTGAGGTACATTAGATTTGACAGAACTGAGAACCTCTGCTCCACTCCCTGCAGTCATGGGGGAAGATATTTGATGATTCTTGAACTTGAGATCTGATGGAGGTGTAGTCATGTTTAGCTTTGTTCCAGCAGGGGAAACTTTTCCATTACTACGACTTCTTGTAATTGCATTTGGAGAGACCCAACTATTGGCTGTGAAAATGTCTGGGAGGCTAGACTCCTGCAGTAGATGCAGAATGCAGCTATGTGTTAATGCAACCATTTCCAAGCTTGCAATGCCTCATTTAATTCTAAATCAATTCATCTAGCTCCTGACTCCAAATTTGATAATGATACACTACCCCTTGAACCTCCCATGAAACAGATAGTCTATTGTCTTAACCTAATGATCCCTCATCTATCTATTGAAATGGCAGGGCACATCTAGCACAGAAGCAGGGGAAAATCCACCATATCAAAGTTGAACATATACAATGACAACAGTATCTGATCTAAAGTTTCTTTTTTCCTAGACAATTTGACATTGTCTAAACAATACCAAAAGAAAGTGGAAAGACTGGATGATTCTATTAGTTAACCAAAATTTTGACACAGCATCAAGGTTTAATGTAAAATACAATCAGAAGTACATGCACATGTGCAGAGAGAGAGAGAGAGAGAGAGAAGAAATAACATGGAGTAAGAAACCCAGATAAATAGAGAAGCATGGCAAAAAAACAACTGAGTAGGATGAAAGAATTGATAATTCAACTATTCTGGAAAGAAAGAGAACAAGGTCAGGAATGCTGATTTGAAACTTGAGAAATTAAGGGCAAAAGTGAACCATGTAAGCCAATAAATGTCAGAATGTAACTGCTTATTCTAATTTAAGCCATAGACTGGGAGAAAGCAGCATGGCACTTTTGTTGAAATTGCTAGATGAGAACCAGTAATAAGTAATGTATGACATGCAGTTAACCACCAAATCTAGCTAACTGCTATTTTTAGTATCTGCAAAATTTGTAGTTGGCCCAACAGTGGCATTTCAAAAGAAACATGAAATTTTATAGGAGATTTGCAATTCAGCAATTAGTATTTGTAGTGGCAGATGTTCAACCAATTGGAACCCCAATAAAATCGTCATGGCAGCAATTTGTGGTTGTCTAATCAAATCATATGTCACATTCCACTCTATCAAGGGATTTGCAGTATCAAGAGTCATAATTTCGTTCGTGAAATATAATCAAAATTCAGAATTTAGAGATATTAAAATAATTCTAAATTAAACCAAAGCTTTCAGAGATATTAAGATTACCAAAAATAAAACTGTTGCACAGTACTTGAGAACTTCAAGATTCATCCGAACATCATCCAAGCTCCTGAAAATCATTACCAAAGGAGAACTTGTGAGCTTATACTGTAAACAAATAACAAGCCATTTCTGAAAGGTCAAGAACAAGAAATTGTTATCACCAAGTGTTTTGAAGTTTTTGTCTAGAATATACATATAACAGGAATATTAGTCCAGTCATCTAGCTAAAGGTACATGACCCAATAATCTTTCAGATGGTTTTACCTCATCATCCTTAATTCAAGGAATAAATGGGCAGCCAAAAACAATTTGTAACATGCTCAAACCTCAAAGCAAGCCCTGATATATTTTAGATTAAAAAAAAAAAAAACAAAAAGTTTGAACAGGTAAGTTGAGCAAATTTCCAAGGGTATATGGCTGTAATGGGCCATAGGAATGAACAAATGGCTGATCCACATGGTACAAATACATGGTTCTTCTAAATGGCAGAAATAGGTGGGGGTCACTACCCAGAGAATTTTCTCTAGACTCTAGACAACATAAATGAATTGATTCAATCCAATGATAAAAAACTCCACATACAGAAGGAATTTTCAATACCAAAATCACTCTGCAGGGACCTACAAGAATACGTTGTGCATGATCAGGATGCCAAGAATATGGTCTCCATTTAGGGATGCAATTCACCCAGCATATGAACTTGCATAAGAAATAAGAACCAAGTTATCTTGCTAAAATCAATATGCCTTAACTGTGTTGTTGTAAACAAATTAATATATAATAAAATTTATAATTTGTGATCAATGAAGGAACAATATAATAACAGATCATAGGCACTTTAGTGGAATAGGATTTTAGGATGGGAACACACACCTATTTCTTTCCATTGATCATATTAGATTTTACCCTGCATGGACTTCTAACACATCATATTTCTTTCCAATTTCCATTAGCTTAGAAGCAGCATATTCTTAGGGACAAACCAAATGCAGCACATGAGACAATAAATTGTAGTGCACATCATAAAGTCCCCAAATAGGTAATCCACAGGGTTGCCAGTTAGATGAATGGTTTCAGTTGGACACACTGGTAGAAGGGAACCTGACGGTTTCTAGTCTTTTTGTCATAAAATCCTCTTCTTTTACCACTTGTTATCATATTATATTCTACAATATCTCAGGTCAAGTTACTAGAATTGAGGTACAAAACCATGTTGGTTCCATAATATCCTTGAATTTCAGTAAGGGCGTAAGTTAAAGAATTGTTTAGCCAATGGACTGCAAAGCAAGATATAAGATCTGGCCCTACAACGAGAATGCTAGAAAACAGAAAAGAAGAAAAAAATAAATGAAGTTTTCGGCTAATAAAGAAGATGACAACGTATAAAGGACGGAAAGGGGGGAACATCGAACACGTACCTTGAAAGAAACTAAGCAAAACACAGCAATCAATAGATAAGTAGATAAACAACTCAATTACCTATGCTTTTGCTGTCCAAGCCCAAAATAGGTTGCAAGGGTGGCCATCTGTGTAGAACAAGACATGTAAATCGACATTCAAAAATTTGCATTGCACAGAATTAGTCAATCTAAACATCTTATAAGAATATCGCTGCAACGAAGCCAAATCTTCTGTACAAGTCAGTATAATCCTCAAAAGCCAATTAAAATGAAGTCCAATCAAGTAAGGTGTATTAATTATAGAATTGTCATTCATATTTTAATCAGACACGTGAAAAGAAAATTAAAAAAGATTAAATAGAAGTAATGACACGAAAGAAGAATAGTAATAGAAATGGCAGGAAGATGGATAACACGAGAAATATAGAGTAAAGAGTCCAGAACCTTCATGTCTCCTGCTCTCCTCCCAAACTTTTGCGTCAACAATGTTAAGGAATCAATAGATCCTTTCGGCTCCGGAGCCGGCCTACCTATCTCGGCAAATGCCTCCCTAATGCGAGCATAGTCGAACTTCACAATATTGTGACCCGCCCAAATTCGACCTACGAACAAAATATCAATTAAAAACATAAGCAAATACTAAGAAAACCTAACAATAGAAATCCAACGAGAGAGATGAACCGTGGAGAATGTCGTAAACCCTGTCAGCAATTTCTCGAAAAGTAGGAGCGGAAGCGATGGCGTCCCGGGTAATGCCATTACACCTGCATGACGCAGCGGGGACGGAAGAAAGGTCGGCAGGCCTGACCAATGTAGAGTAGCTTTCAAGCTCAACCAGCTTCCGAGGGCAGACCAGAATCGCTCCGAACTCCAACAAGGCAAAACCCTGACCAGCACGAGAGGGGACCGTAGTTTCCACGTCAAAGAACACGATCTCTGAACGGTCTCCACTCGAATCCATTTCAAACGACCGTGGAAGTCTTTTTATCCCTAAACCCCGAAATGGAGCCAAATGCAGAGAGAGAAGGGAAGAAAGGCTCTGATACTTCGAAGCACGAAAGCAGGTACCCGCCAGTCCAATGCGTGTTGCATTGCATAGCCATATATAACCTTCTGACTTCGAGGTTGCTTTGTAAGGGAGATTCGAAAAAGGTCAGTAAGAGTTATAATACGGAACCGTGGCCGATTAGAACCGTGGGTACATATTTAATACGGAACCGGTTCATCTTTCGGTTTTAAAAATTTCGAACCCAAATCGAATCGAATCAACCGGTGAACTAGTTGACCGGTTCGATTTTTTGTTTTTATTGTTATAATATATATTATAAATATATAATGTAAATGTTATAAAAAATATATTAGATAATGCATATAAATAAATATATATAATATATTGAAAATATATAATGTATATAATATATAAGAAATATAGATAATACATTTTGGTCGGTTCAGTTAAACAAACTTTTTGAGTTCAAATTATCAATTTTGATTTGATTTTTCGGTTTTTTTTAGCACCCACTTAAAGATAAATGCATGGTTTAAAGTATCGATATGATACGCATTATGTCGTATCTTTTGAAAAACAGGCGTTTTGGACCCCCCCCCCAATTTTTTTAATAATAAAAAACATGCTAAAAGCTTCCCAATAAATTAAAATATAAAAAAATAAACTAAAAATAAATAAAATTTCGTATCGATACTTTGAACCTATCATAAATGGATTATCATTAATTCATTATAAAGGCCCAGATAGTTTGGCCAAAGTTCGATCGACAGTAAGACTCGAAAAATACATTAAACCGGTGGACTCCAAGTATCATACCTTACCTCCTACCATATCCAAGCAAGGGATCATTTAGAATTCTCTGACCAACTCATTCGGGTAACCTATGATTCTCTATTTATCCAAAGACCGTTGCCCCGTCTAAGAAGTTAAAGAGTATCCGACCCTTCATACGGAGGGGAGTTGATAATTATCAAGTAAGAAAGAAGATTATTCCAAATCTAATGTAATTATGTAAACAGCGAAGTCATACAAAATGATTTATACCCTAGAATGGTGACATTGGGCTGATGCTAGTCAGACTGTCAGAGTCATTGTAAACTGATGGAGTTGATCATGCAATGATGTGGGGCCTGGGATAAGTTTAGGGGTTGACCAAATTTCCCATCTTATTTTACTAGTGTAAGCATTGAAATGTAAGGATCTATAGAAACAAAACTTTCTACAATTTAATTGGAAAAAGTTTTACCTAATTCTCAGGTGGGTATATTAAATTGTGCATGGATCAGGAAAATTAATCAAAATGTATAAGATTAAAATGCCTTTACCAAAAAAGGTTAGGGGTATTAAGTTAGGAGTATTTTAGGAAATTTTTCACTTGCCCAACTGATACTTTCTGACAAAAGAACATGGAAAAATGCATTTATCCGGGTAACAATTTTCTAAATAACATTTTACCCAAATTAGTAACTTATCACCAAGGTGTTGTTCGCTTTCTAGGAAGTTACTTACCTAGGTATACACTTATTGAGGGGTAAATGCATTTATCCATATTCTTTTATTTCTGAGATAAATAAGACAATAATCATTTTAGTCATAAAAGGTCATTATTAAAATGGGCAATTTTGCCATATCTAAGTGTTGGCAATTTCCCCCTTACCCACCTGGGAGATGGATATACCAAGGAAAATAAATTTTCCATGAACCCCACATATATCTGAAAAAAGAGCATGGGTATCTTGCTCAATGGGAACCAAAACCCCATTGACCAACTTCGCCCCTCTCAAAATCTGAAAAAAAAAAGGCCCAAATGAATGGCGCTTATTAGCGTGCTATTTGTGGAGAGTATTAACTAGTAGACTTCTATGTTCACATGGGAAGTAGACAACTATTTGAAAACTTGAGCATTATATTCTCGACCTATTAACTATTGGATGATAATTGATATGGAGAAACATGTTGTTTTTCACCCTTGATTTGTTCAAGTATCTGGGGTGATGACCAACTCTTTAAGAGAGTGGGGGTACAGTATGTATTTCAACAATAAACATGATAAAAGTAAGAAGGTAAGTAGGAATAGTAATGGGGTGGGTTCGGAGGAGATCACATTTGCAGCCCACATGCACATCTCATCGTGCATTGGGAACATCTCCCAAAGTTGTCAATGGGAGATATTCCCAATACACAGTTGGGATATGCTGTGGGGCGCCCTTTGTGTGGGCACATGTGTGAATTTGGTTCAGAGCAGGGATCATATTCCCTATCCCTAACACCGATTTAGAGATAAATCTCCATGATTCCTGACCTCAATCCATGTCAGGGATAAAAAGTGTCCTCCATCCCTGATCCTAACATAGGCGAGTTCCTTATGGGGACCCAACTCCCTAAATTTTTTAACACTTTTTTGAAATCCCCCCCCAAAAAAAACGGGCCCAAATGAATAGGGCTTATAAGCATGCTATCTTTGGAGAGTATTAACTAGTAGACTTCTATGTTCATATGGGAAGTGGACAACTATTTGAAAACTTGAGCATTATATCCTCAACCTTGTGTAGAAACATGTTATTTTCCACCCTTGTGTCGTTTGAATTACCTTCCTTTTAGATTTGTTCAAGTATCTAGGGTGATTACCAACTCGTTAGGAGAGTTGGGGGGAGGGAGGTACATGTATGTTTTTCAACAATCTATACTATATATAAAAGTGTAAATGCATTGTGAAACTTTTTTTGGACTAAAATTACCCTATATTTATTTGTTTAAAAAAGGGTATAAAAGTCACTTTGTTATAGCTTTAATATCAGCTTTAATGGCTACTAAAACGATCATATTTGTGTATTTAATACATCTTTAATTGTAAGGGTTGAAAATGTAACTTCAGCTATTACTTTCCACCTCATTTAGTCCCCTCTCATTAAGTCTTATACTTAAGGTGTCAAATCTCATTTCCTCTTATTAAATCTTATATTTTTAAATTATTTTTTACTAATAAATGTTACTAATTAAATCTATGCCAATGATTTTAATAACAATATAAATCCATATATTTTAAAATTGACCCCAAAACAAAACCATTTTTTATCCAACTAGTGACTAAGCAATTCAACCATCCAAATCAAAATGATCAACCTATGAAGTCATAGTTAGGTAATACATTTTTTAAAATAAATTAAATATAGAAATTTACAAAAAAAATATAGAAAATTAATCAAGTTAAAAAAATAAGTGTAATAAACAAGAATTGTTTTTATTTATAATGAAAATGAAATACATAATTTAGAACTGAAAAAAATGAAATATAAAAACTAGTAATAAATAGTTCAACTTTTGGGTTAAATGTGTTAGCCTTTAATGTCATAAATAAATAATAAAAATAATAAAATATAAAAATGAAAAATACATAAGTTTTATTAAAAAAAGCATTCAAGCACATGTATAATATCATATATTTATCATATTAAAGAAAAAATAAGTGTAACATATCATAATTATTTTTACACACAAAAAAAAATACAAAAAACATATAGAAAAAATTAAACACATATGTAATTCTATATTTATGTTACTATTAAAAATATGAATAAGATTGTGAAACTTTCTTTTGACTAAAATCAAGGTTTTAAAAATCGAACGGAAATAGAATTGCTCTGGCTTCCGATTTTTGGGTTAGCGGTTCAATGGTCTAGTTTGGGCGGGTCAAACCGATAAGATGTAAAATATAATATAACTTTTTTATTTTGACTGTTAGGTTATGATTAGATTAAAGTCCACCATATATATACATTATTATGAGAGGAGAATGTGAGACATTGAGAAGGAGGCAATTGGTTAGAGTTTAGAAGTGAGGAAAAAAAAGAAAGATAGAAGAAACCGCCAACAACAACTATCTCCATGTTCATCATCACTACCGTACAACACCATTTACCCTCTTTTTACATCTCTCTAAATCTCTCTCAAGTCCCAGATTGCTTGCTTCATTGGTGTATTTTATATTTCTAATATAAGATCGGTGTTTAATCTTTCATCTCTTGCGTCGATTTTTTGATCTCTTCATTGGAGTTGAAATTTTTATGTTGTTACAACTTAAAAAGAATCACAGAAATGAGAAAACTCAAAATCAAAATGGAAAAACTAAAAATCCTAACTAATTTTGGCCATTGGGTAATAACCAAACAAGATTATGATATATGAAAGTTTTTTCTTTCAATATTCTTTTTATTTTTTATTTTAAAATAAATAAAAATTTTGGAATTAGTTTGAAAGCAACTCAAGAACCATTAAGTAGGTTAAACATTTTAACGGTTAAACCATCCTGGTCAGTGGTTCTCTAACCATTTCAACATTTTTTTTTTGTAAAATAGTGGTTTAGGGCCAAAACGAAACTACTAACCTAACAGATTCCTAGAGGTGTAAATCAGGTCGTGCCGCCTGCGGCCCGACACGGTGGTCCGCGGGTCGTGCCAGGCCCGGCATGATCGTGCGGACCATGTTGGGCCTGGGGTTTTAGGTCCACAGGCTGGGCCAACACAACACGACCGAGCAGGCCATGTTGCTCGCAGTCCACGTGCCAGCACGACCCATATATTATTTATATATTTATATATATAATATTATATAAATTATAATTATATAATAATATATTAATAAAATAAATATTTTTTAATTTTATTGTACTAATTTATTTAATTATTGTATATATAAGCAATTGTATACATCAAAATTCATATAAAATTAAAAGTTTAAGTTTTTTGTCAAAATTTTTAAATAAATAGCTTTGGCCCGGTGCACGACCCAACTTGGCCCAAGGCTCGGCCCATGGGCCAACCCCCCAAGTTATCCAAGGGAGGGCGGCACAATCCGCACTTTGCATGGGCTACCTATTGGCCATGCCATGTCGGCATAGCCCAACTCGGCCCGTTTGACACCTCTACCGATTTCTGAGCCAAATGGTTCAACCGTCTGGTTTGGTTCGGTTTTTAAAACAATGACTAATAATAAAAAAACAACAACTTGAAACTTGATATGATTATCACATATTTCGATGAGGTGTTTATTTAATCAAATTTGGATTTTGCAATTTGCATCTAATTAATAATAAAAAACAAAAAAATATAGAAACAATAAATAAAAATTACATAAGTTTATAGAAAATTTTAGATATATTATTATTATAATTATCATCATCTAGAATTGCCACGTGCACACTTACTAGTAAACATGATAAAAGTAAGAAGGTGAGTAGGAATGGTAACGACGCACCACGTGCACATTAGCGTGCATTGGGAACATCTCCCAGAGCATAGATCATATTCCATGTCCCTGATCCCGATTTATAGATAAATCCCTATTCCCGACCTCAATCCCCACTAGGGATAAAATCTGTCCTCCATCCCCAATCCCTAACAAAGGTGAGTTCCCCATGGGGACCCAAATCCCTAAATTTTTTTAATTAACATATTCTTTTGAAAAATAAATTCTTAAAATAAAAGAAAAAAATTTAAATATAAATAATATTTTAAACATATTTTGAAAATATATAATATAAATGTATACTATATATAAAAGTGTGAATGCAATGTGAAACTTTTTTTGGACTAAAATTACCCTATACTTCTTTGTTTAAGAAAGGGTATAAAAGTCATTTTATTATAGCTTGAATGCTAACTTTAATGGATACTAAAATGCCTATATTTGTGTATTTAATCCATCTCTAATTGTAAGGTTTGAAAATGTAACTTCAATTATTACTTTGCACATTATTTAATCCCCTCTAATTAAATCTTATACTTAAGGTAATAAATCCCATTTTCTCTTATTAAATCCTATGTTTTGAGCTATTTTTCACTAATAAATGCTACTAATTAGATCTATGTCAATATTTTTAATAATATAAACCCATATATTTTAAAACTAACTCAAAAACAAAACCATTTTTTATCAAAGTTGTGGCTAAGAAATTCAACCTTTCGAATCAAATTGATCAACATACGAAGTCATAGTTAGGTAATAAAATTTAAAAAATAGAAATAAATATAGAAAATTACAAAAATGTAGAAAAAAATTACACATTTGTGATATTTTTATTAATAAAATTAAAAAAAAATGTGTAATAAAAAGAATTAATTTTATTGATATTGAAAAATGAAATATAAAAAGTAATAATAAATAATTCAATTTTTTGAGCTAAATGTGTTAACCTTTAGTGTCATAAATAACTAATAAAATATAAAAATACAAAAAATGAAAAAATACATAAATTTTGCAAAAAATGGAAACAAGGTTGGTATGGGGCGGGGTCATATTCCCCATCCTCATCCCCAATCCCCGCTGGGGATAAATATAAATAATGTTTCAAATATATTTGGATATATACAAATATATATATATATATATATCGGGCTCAGGGCGAGGTGGGGACCTCAATCCCCATCCCTCACCCCATCGAGTTGGGGAAGTCAAGTCCTTGTTGGGGATGGGGAAATTTCCCATCCCTATTTAGGCACATGTATAATATCATATATTTATCATAAATAAAAAGTAAGTGTAATATATTAGAGTTATTTTTACACGCAAAAAATACAAAAAAAATATAGAGAAAATCGAACACATCTATAATTCTATATTTATATTAATATTAAAAATCTGAATAAGATTGTGAAACTTTCCTTTGACTAAAATACTCATTTTTAATTTAGTCATTATTTAATTGTAAGGTTTAAATTGTAAATTTTTTTATACTTAACACAACGCACACTAACTTTTCAATGGTGGTAACAACGAGATTTAAATCCACGTCTTTTCTGGGACTACCCAACTAACATGCTAACCACGCTAGCACTCAATTGTGGTAAATTAAACTACTACTTTTCACCTCATTCAATTCCTTCTATTTAAATCTTACTTTTTTTTTATAAATGAATAAAAGAAAAAAAAAGATAGACCCAAAAGAGAAAACACTACAAAAAGAAGAGTTTAGCCAAGCAGGTAGGCCTGTTAATGAAAGTTGAAACCAATGTTTTCAAACCGCCGTTGACTTGGACAGTCGAACTATTCGGCCTGAGAACCATCCAGGAAACCGGTTCTGTTTTATGCCAAACCTAGTCCTTAGCCAAAAATTGTTGAATTAGTCAATGACTCGTTATGAGTATTCGAACCGTCAACCTGTTCAACAGTTTTTTGCCTTTTTTATTTTTTAATTTTGTTGTTAGAACGAGCTATCCATTTGAATGAATGGTCAAACTATCGACCCAAAAACTAGTGACCATAATGATTCCGATTCTAGGTCATTTTTTAAAACATTTCTTGAAACTTCACGATTCTATCCGGTTATCACATATTTGGATGAGGTGCTTATATATTCAAGTTTGGATCTTGCAATAGGCGTCTGATTAATAATAATAAAACAAAAAATATAAAAATGAAAAAAAATACATAAAATTTTGTAGAAATTTTTGAATTTATTGTTATTATTGTTATTATTATTATTATTATTATTATTATTATTATTATTATCGTCTAAAAGTGAAAAATATGTTAGAGATTTCTTGCATCATGGAAAAGATAAAAGAAAAAGGGAAATATAAATATAAGTTATCATGTCTTATTTGGAGTCAAAACTTGAATAAGACATGAATCCAAGCTACCGTGACCTGGGATCAAGTCCCGTCTCCACTTGGCCGGTTAGGGGTCTATATTAACATTTTTAATTGAATTTTATTAAAATATATAAACCAGAAAATAACTTTATTGAAACAAACAAATTTATAAATAAAATATGATTTAATCTATTAAATGAAACAATAAGTATGATTTAAATTTATAATATAGATAATGACAAGCAAAAGCTGCAAAACACATTAAGAGTCTGTTTGGTTTTCAGGAATAGGAGTTTGGAATCGAAATCGGAATAATCTAACTATTTGGTTGGATAGAATTGGAATTCTATTTTCATTTTGATTTCAAATATTTGGTTGGGCAAAATTGGAATCTCATTCTCATTCCTAATAGAATGGCATTCCCCATACAAGGAAATTGCCATTCCCTCCCCTCCCCCGGGAATGAGAATCTATTCCAGCCAATTCTAATTCCGATTCTGATTTCAGACTAAACCGAAAAGATAAAGGGAATAAACTATTCTAATTTCGATTCCAAAGAATTCTAATTACAACTGCTATCCCAGTTCCAACTACCCTAAAATAGTTGCTCCCCTAATTGCTGGATGGTTATTATCTAGTGACAAATAAACCAAAAGTGTCATTTTTCAACCTAGTAGTCAGGCCCAGCTTACATAGCCATTTTACGATTTCGGATCTGCTACCAATAATATACCCGCAACATTTATCAACCATCCACTGCAGCCTCACATCGGAAACGTCTCCCATGAATAATAAGATAGATGTTCCCAATATACAGTTGCAGTGGGGCAGTTGGTACATTGTTGTGAGTACTGTTTTGTTGGTAGCAGATTCCTGCCCCATTTACCTGCAATTTTTCTATAAATTATTTATTTTTCTTTATTTAATAATACTCCTGATTCACATTAATGGTGACAATTAAATAGTTTTTTCTTGGTAAAGAGGAATAATCATTAACCAAGAAAAAAATAGAGAAATACGGCCCAATGCAGATTTTTGAATCCCACTATACATTTATAAACATTCGAAATGTCAAATACCCACACTTTATGCATCAACACCCGATCGTGACTTGACATCAATTCCGCATTGCCACCTACCCCAATAGTACTTTAGGCCTACAAATTCTGACCCTGTGCTGAACCGTCATTCTCCAAAAAAAAAACATAAAGCCAGAGGTTGCAACATCCACATGAAACTACAAACAACCAGACCTAACCAGAATAACTAAAAAAAAAAGAACAGAATAAAACACTGTTAAAACTAAACAAATTAAGCCAGAAGACAAGAGAACCCCACAAGGTTCTTGGTATGTGTTTGATTCCGTTTATGTTTATTGAATAAACGCTTATACTTTATTTGTATGTAAAACCGAAAAATGCAATAATTGCAACCGTTGACAACTAGGTGTCGCTTCAGCGTAGCAATGAATAAATGATTGGCCGTTTGTGGAAGCTTCAAAAAATAATTTATACAAACGGTTGACATACACATAAATCAAAGTTCACTTTTTACATTTTCAATGTATGCAGAAGAGCAAGAGAGAGAAAATGCTGAGATGACGCCTATGTAATACCATCAATAAACGTTTAGTGAATAAACGTAAACAGAACCAAACACGCTCTTAATAAGGAGGATCCCTCTAGTGACAGTGAAGTAGGTTGGGGGCCGGTTAGATGTTGGTTGAACCTTTGAACAACAATTGACCCACTAACCATCTGTTTACACATGACATATATATGGGGGTCCGACCGGATCCACCCATTTACTAGCTAGTTGGATGATTATCTCTAGCTCTAGGTAAAAATTCATGAATCAAAATGTCAAAGGTCAATCCAATGGGTACCCCATACCCTATACCCAACTGAACCTGACCCATTTAAATTGATGTAGTGGATATTTGGATATTCAACTCATTTTGGACGTACTATAATCTATACCAATATATCGTATATATTTCATATTTGTCAACCCAGTAACACAATCGAATAATCCATGCATTGAAAGTATAACACCCGCAAGCCCGTCAAACTAGAACCACACATAACATAGGGTGAGATCCTAAATCATTGAGAGCAGAATCAAGCAAAGTTGAATATATGGAGTTGACCCAGCACAGAAAAAGTTAGCAAAAAAAGTGGAATCGGATCGCCATTAACTCAAGAATTTATTTAATTGTTGTAGTTCTAATTAAAAGAGATTCTTCTTTTTTATAAAAATAGATCAAAGATTCATGGTTGATTTTAACTTCTGTTTAGTCAAAAATAAATCAAAATTCGAGTTAATGAAATTCAAGGTATTCCAAAATGGGAAATATTTTTCTTATTCAGGAATTAGAAATCTAAAACCTCCTGGAATGCGTGGAAAATTTTAGAAGAGAAAAGGAGGAAAAATTAAATGGAACTCCGATTTCATAAATTTTCCCACAGAAAATCGTTCTTATTGGCGACGAATGGTATTAGGCAGAAAAGTCGATGAGAGACGGAAAGGCGCAGAATAAAAAATTGGAGAGACGAATCAGTACGGTGACTCTGTGACCAGGACGGTAATTACTCTCTTAAAAGTCTGTCAGCAAATTCGCCACCAGCCGTCAAATCAAGTACAGAGTCTGAAAAGTGAAAAGTTTCTGCACAGATTCCAAGAGAATCAGGAGAACAAATCAGGGCGGACGGATAGAACAAGCCGTTCTCTGTTCCGATCAGGTGATCTTCTATTATTATTATTTTTTCCAGTTTGTATGAGTGGGAACGTAGAGAACTTGGGGACTTCGGGAGGTGGCCCCTCCCCGTCGACGCTTTCGCCGCATGGATACCCAACGACGCTGGCGGAGAAGCAGAAAGAGAAGGCTCGGGTGAGCAGAACGTCGCTGATCCTTTGGCATGCTCACCAGAATGATGTCACTGCCGTTCGAAAGCTTTTGGAGGAAGACAGGTCACTAGTTGACGCCAGGGATTACGACCACAGGACTCCCTTACATGTTGCTTCCCTTCACGGTTGGATCGACGTAGCCAAATGCCTTATTGAGTACGGTGCCAACGTCAACGCCCAGGATCGTTGGAGAAATACGGTAAACAATTCAGTCTCTCTCTCTCTCTCTCTCACTCCATCTGCATGGTCAGCACTCTACGTTTTGCTTAATTTGATCATTTAACTGGAATATAGAGGTTAATTGGTTCGTAGTTTGAAAAATCTGATGTGTTTTCTTTCTAATTTCTGGTAAATGCACTGGAGTCGACTTTAATTTCTCGCAAATCGTGATTATAAAATTGCTTGATTTGATAAATCGTAGTGCTTTGACGCTTCATGCCATTAGATTCTTTGCATCTTTATGGTTCTACTTTAACATCAATATATTCAGATTTCTACCCCATTTTGCCAATGAAACAATACCGCACAATGAAATGTTCAATCTTTGGTAGGCATAATTCTTATATGTTTGGTCATTTAGCCTGAATTACATACTTTTTTCGGTCTCTCCTTCTCCCTCTGTGGCTCTGTACGTGAATTGGTTTAATCACTTTCTTTTGGCCAACTTGTTTGCCAATCTCCTAGAAGTGGCCTCTAGGTGCGCCAAAACATATCAGTATGGCAGTACCCTCTCAGGTACCGTGTCACATGGATATATAGTTTGGCACTTTGGCCTCTGTATTTTCCTCTAGTGACTAGTCTTGAGCTGAGAAGTTAAAAAGGTGTAGCAAATACGAAGGAATTTCTTTCAATCACGTTTATAGGTATTTCTTGAATAACCATGCAGCATAAGCGAGATATTACAACTCGTTCTTCCCAATCCCATATATTTTACAACAAGTCCCTAATTTAGTAATGAATCAAGCAATTTTAGAGACCCATCTAGGTGAGATCCTTATCATAAAATTCAATAAGTTTGCTTCTTTCAACCTAGCCTTATTAGGCAGTTGGCACCGGAGGTTTGCTGCTGAACCAGATAACCTTTGGAGGAAGGTAATAGCTGAGAAATATGGGCTGGATAATAATGGTTGGGACAGTGGTCCTCCACTTTTGACTTATGGATGCAGCCTGGGGAAAGGAATTTGTAGAGCCTCCACCCATTTCAGACTTGCATCAGGTTCAAAATTGGAGATGGCAGAAGGATCAGATTCTGGCTAGATCCTTGGATTGGGGAGAGCTCTCTCAAAGAGCTGTTTCTCACTCTGTTTAATTTGGCAGTTGGCAAAGAGGTGCTGGTAACCGATTCTTTTGTGCTGAGGGGAGATAAGAACTGCTATCTCTTCTCCAAGAACAGATTCTGAACTTACAAAATCAGGATTCAAGAGTGTGGAAGTGGAACAGATCAGGAGAGTTCTCAGTAAAATCTTTCTACAGCTTTTTAGTAGGAGAAAATGAAACCTCTTTTCCTATCCGGGCCATTTAGGGGGAAGTGGCACCATCAAAAGTCAAATTTTTTGTTTGGGTGGCGGCTTTAGAGAAGTGTCTCACTAAAGAGATGCTGCTGAAGAGAGGCTTTATTTGCAATGACTTGAGATGCAGTCTTTGTAGTGTGGAAATGGAAGCAGTTAACCATTTGTTTTTACACTGCAAGTTTGTAACAGTAATTTGGAGCTATTTTCTAAAGATCCTAAAGGTAAGCTGGAGCATGCCTGCCTCAGTTAAAGCATGCTTGGAGGCTTGGCATATACCAGGGGTGACAAAGGAAAGGGAAAATTTGCTGGTCCTCTATTCCTTTGGCAATTCTGTGGGCAGTGTGGACTGAAAGGAACAGTAGGATTTTCGATCACAAAGCCTCCTCCGAAGCTAAGGTCATCAACATGGCTATAGAGTTCATTAGGAGTTGGTTGTCTATACACAGGTTTTAAAGAGGATACATCTGATTGTACTTTTTTGAGGATGGCCTTTGTTTGAGGTGGACCCGGTTGATTAATACAATTATACCTTTTCTCAGAAAAAAAAACCAGAGGACAAACCTGAAGCCTAAGTGTTTCCTCGTTTAAGAAAAAGTTTACTTGGTCTGGACTGGTAAAACAGTTAAAAGGTTCTGACTTAGGAGACCCTGTCTGGTTTCTGGCTTCAGCTCAACTGCCCAGCCAGGTGCAGTTTTTGAAATGCTGACCCAAAGAATAGATTGACCTGAAATCCTACATCACAACAGAAATTTCATCTCTTATAAGTTACCAAAGCCAATTAGACTTGAGTATATGAGGAAAATTACCCCTTCATGGCCCTTCAAACTTAAAAGCTCCACTGACAGCATATGTCCTCAGTTAGCAGTAGAGCAATGATCAAAATTTAGTTTGACCATTCCTTTTTCTTTTGCTTGCTTTGTCACTGCAAACTATCATATGCAGATTATTCTCTTTTTTATCATCGTAGTTATTTAACTAGTCATCATTGTTAGTACTTTCTTACAATTGCTTGATTTTGGCAACAGAAACCCTGTTGACCAACTTAGTCCACCCCCTTGTTAGTGTTCTGCTTCTGCTCCCTATTAGAGCTTTTTTGCTTCACTAAATTGTTGCCATCAATGCAGATTCCATCGAAATCCTACATGAGTCTAACAAAACTGTGAATGACCACAGAAGATCCAGAAAGTTTCTGACTTTTTGCAATATACATTGAGATCTTGATATTGTATTCTCTCTAAAGGAAACTTCATTGAAAAGAAATCAATCCCAATATATTAGGGTGTTGTTGATATGAACTGTATTCTGGATATTCTGCCAATGATTTAGAAAAAAAAGATATACAATAGATTTACTTATTAAGAGCTTCGGATACAAAAACATTTCAGAAGTTTATTTTTCTTCAGTCTACATTTCCACCATAAAATTACACAATTGGTCCATTTGAGATGTTCAAGGAATAAAAGAAGTTTTTTAGTGGTATTCTTTTCCATGAAGTCACATTTTAAAGCTTGTGGAGGTTTTGGCTTTCTGTAAAGTTGGTTGCATGTCTTGGGGGAAATTACCCACAAAGGTTCTGCTTCTGAAATTATGTGATGTTCTCTGTGTTCTTACATTATCATTTTTTTTGTTTTCTTTTTTTTTTACTATAGAAGGGGCAGAAAACTTTTCCATTGTTGTGCCATGGTACTTTATTCTTGTTATTAATTTAACACAGTAGAACTAATTTATAATGTCTGTACTTTGTCTTTTAGATTATATGCTTAAATACTTCAATTTACTTTAAATAAGGTAATATGCATTCTTTCCATAGTATTTTCTTGCATGATCAGTGCCAACTTCTTTGGTGTATTTATTATCTTAAGTTTTGTCCCTCATCACAGCCCTTAGCAGATGCAGAAGGAGCCAAGAAACACAAAATGATTGAGCTGTTGAAATCATATGGTGGTTCATCTTATGTAAGTTCTCTTTCTCCATTGGAATTTGGCTTGTAACTTTTTGATTATTTCCCTCTTCCTTAATTATATACATGATATGCTTCAGAAATCTACTTGCAACTGTTACTAGTTTTATCTCTAGGACAAATTTTTAATTTGTTTTTACTTTCTATGTGCTGATGCATACTTGATATTGGTAGCACAAGTGATGTCATTTGGCCATGACTTGACCCTATTGATGGTATTCTCATTTGTTTTAGCTGGTATACTATTCATAAATGCATGTACCTTTCTTATCCTTCAACAAAAGTTGGATTCTAGGCTTCAAATTTATGGTCCATGCTTAGCCATTACTTCAATGTAACTTGGGTAGTTTATTCCTTTTTCTTTTGTGCTATGTGGGCATTTGTAATTTACATCTTGTCTCAACTGTTGGGATGCTCTTTTTCTTTTTCTTTTTTTTTTTTTTTGATCAGCAGGTGTCAACTTTTAGGGGCCATTGCATGGTGTAATGGTAAAATCTTGGGATGGAAAGTGTGAGGATGCGAGTTCAAGTCTGAGAGCGGCCACTTTGTGCAAAAAAAAATGCCAAAGGTTAGGACCATATCTAGTCTACCCCTCCCTCCCAAGACCTCGGATAGCTGAGACCAACATTGGGTAATGACCTTTGGTAAGTATTAACTTTTATATGATAAAGACAATGTATTAATAACAAGCATGCCAAGCATCCCTCAACTAGGCTGGAATTTGCCACCTGACCCTTTCTTTGCTGTTACATTACAATCTTCAGCAGTACCAGAAGTGATTTTCCCTATTTACCAGATGTTTGGCCAAGGCATCAGCCAAAAAGTTTGCTGATCAATGGTGTTCCAGTATTGCCACAAGACTTGGTTGTTGTTCTTTGGCCAATCCACTACCACTCTAGAGTTGCTTTCTACCAATATCTTTCTAACATTCAGCAACCTTCCCAGTCCCCAACCATAAGCCTTGTAATACTTCTATAAACTCAGCTTTTGTAGAATTCTCAGCCTATAGATCCCAAGTATATGGTCAATATAGGTCCATAATAATCTCTAAAACCTTTCCTATGCTTAACGCCCAGGGTTTCCCATGCTGCAGCCATATCAAAGTTTAGTTTGACTTGATCATTGACTGATGGATTCCATTGGACTTTTTCTTACTCATGTTATGTCACTGAGGGAGGACCTCAATGTCAACTTTGCCCTTCTTCACATTCCCTTTTTCCTTGTTTCCTTACAACCAAGACATTGCATTTTTTCCTTCTATGATCCTAAACATCTGGTTCCATTTAAAAACCTCTCTCTAATCTCTCAGATACATGGTCATGCATTATAACCTAAGCAACTTTATAAAAGAAATATTTATTTTAGATAAGCTAATAGTTTAATAGATTTTGTGCAATATTTTAATTAATAAAATTCTATATTGATAAAAATATTGAAAACAGTTGCCTTTGATTTTTTCCATCTTGTATATAGGGCCGCACTACCCACTAGTGTATTATAAATAAAATCAGATTCACTGAATCCAGCACAAATCAAATGAACTTAATGCCTCAAAATGAAGGTGCTGTAGTGGAAAATAAGATAGATTCCTAGGAGGGTAACATCATAGCAGTTAAGGGATTATAGATAGACTCCTGGGAAAGGAAAATAAGATCTGTAAGAACCACTTATGCAAATTGGTTCTTAGTTCTTGCTGATCTAAAAGCCCATCAGCTGCAAGAGCCTATTAGACCAATCCTCTATGGACTGTCTAAAAATCCATTCTATTTTTCCATGAAACTGTCGTGGAGCATTTTATTTGTAAAAGTTATGCTTAAGCAGGTGTATTGGTGCTTAGTTCTTGCTGAACCTTGTTGTCTGCCATGTTTGATGGTAATAGTGTGCCTATTAAATTCATCCATCAAGATATTGACAACAAGATGTGCATTGTTCTAAAGAATAGGCTATTAAATCCTATATTAATAAGATGTGGATTGCTTTATAATCTAAGTGATTTTTTGGAGCTTTAATTCAAGGTTTCTACTGTAGGGTCAAAATGGTAGCCATTTTGAACCAAAGCCAGTTCGACCTCCTCTGCCAAACAAGTGTGACTGGGAAGTTGACCCTTCTGAACTGGACTTCTCAAATTCAAGTGTCATTGGAAAGGTTTGATTTTATTTTGTTCTTAAATCTATATTGTACATATAAAATGCAGTTGTCCATGTCAGCTTACTCTCTCACTCTCATCCTCAAATTGCTTCCCAACCCCCTTAGAATTTTGTGTTTTTTGAATTTAAAAATTAAAAAATTTAAACATGGGGCTATTGAAACTCACCCACAACCAATTCAGTTTCCTTTTATTAGGAAGCTGAATGTAAGCACTCCCCTAAGAATATGGGCATCTTTTCTTTTTCTTTTTTCTTTTTTTTTTGAAAAAGGTAAAGTATATTGTATTAACTGAAAACAAGATATACATGTATGGTCCTCTGTACAAAGAGTTTATGTACATTTACCTAACCTTTAAGGACCCCAAAAATATCTATATTGAAAAAAGGGATGATAGTTCATTTCCACTAAAACATGAGAGTAGATAACCAATTTTTTATCATGTCTACTGCACAGTTGATAACCATCTCCTCTAGGTTGATAAAAACTTTTGAGGGCATCTTTTAGCATGAGCCCATCATGTAGGGATGACAACGGGGCAGGTTCGGGGAGGGTTTTGTAAAATTCTAGACCCTACCCGCCTTCCAAAACTTCCCAACCTGTATCCGCCCCAAGACCCATAGTGGGTTGGATTTTGAGAATCTAAACCCTCTCTGCACATGAAAATGCAAAACCCTCTCCGGATTCAAGGGTAGGGGCGGGTTGGGTTTAGAACCCACATCTAATTTCCTATTATTTCTTGTCATATATAAGCAATATATAAGTAAAATAACACAAATATATAACAAAATTTCCAATTATTTGATTAAGAAATGCAAAAAACAAAAACTATCAATTATCCTTTACATAAAATTAAAAATATTATTAAATTCAACACCTAGTACATAAAGTTTATATGCTTTCCATTTTTCCAACAATATGTGGGTTGGGGAAGGTTGGGTTTTAGCCTAATACCGTACCGTACCCATACCCATACGCAATGTAGAATCCCAAAACCCGTCCCTGCCCCAAAACCATCCTTCAAGCCAAAAAGCCCTCCCCGTCAGGGAGGGTAGGGGCGGGTACCCATCGGGTAGGGTAGAAATTACCATTCCTAAGCCAATGCATTGCACATGTTTCTTCTATTATTAATATATTAAGAAGATTTGGGGAGGCAAAACCATATTAACTATATGAGGAAGTTGCATTAGGGTGAAGCAATTTGATCAATGATATCAATCATGTAACTTGCTTATTGGGACCTCAAAACTATAGCATGGTGCAAAAGAAATTTTATGAGAAGGATTTCTACTCTCCTATAGCTCCACTTATTTCAATATATAAGGGGTGGAATAGTTTTTAGTTTGAAATATTTTTAGATCTTGGTAATACCTCCATCTCCATGCAATCTAAAGACTAGATTTTGACCTTTTTTTTCCAGTTCTCTTTTTCCTTTTGCATGTAATCATTACATTTGGAGAACATTCATTTCCATCTGAATTTTGAATTTGAAAAACTAACCCTCACATGCTTAATAACAGTTGTCTGAAACCAATGAGGTGCAAACCTGATTTAGCAAGAAGAAAGGAAGAACAGAGATGGAAGAGAAGAGAAGAAGAGAGCATAGAAGAAAGAATAGAAAAAAAGGTGTAGGCAATCTAATCTGATCTGTTGCCCCAGGTGCTATTTATATTAGACACAAAATAAAAGATGTATAATGATAGGAATACCCCTGTTGATAGTAACAACATAAACACATGCTAAGAGCAATATAAAACAAAAATATATCATCAAGGAATAATAAAACTGGGACCACAAGCTGATCAAACATTTTCTCTACATTCCCACTCAAGTTGGGAAATATATTTTTCATTCCCAACTTGCTTATATCTGTCTCAAGCTTGACTTTGGTGATTGCCTTGGTGAAGAGATCAACAAGCTTAATATCAGAGGCTACATAAGGAAGACATACTTCTTGAGAGGCAACTCTCTCTTGGATGAAATGTCTACCAACTTCAATGTGTTTGGTTCTATCATGCTGTACTGGGTTATGAGCAATGTTAATGGTTGCCTAGTTGTCACAATACATCATCAAGGGTCTTTCATAGTCAACCCTCAATTCTTCAAGGAGTGATCTCGGCTATAACATTTTAGCAACACCATTAGCCATAGACCTGTATTCAGGTTCAGCACTGGAGCGAGCAACAACATTTTGTTTCTTGCTCCTCCAAGAAACTAGATTTCCTCCAACAAGAGTATAATACCTTGAGGTAGATCTCCTATCATCAGTACGTCCTACCCAATCTGCATCAGTGTATACTTCTATTCTTCATGTGGCCATTATTTTTAAAAAGTATACCTCGACTTGGACACCTTTTCAAATAGGCTACAATCCTTTCAACAACAAGAAGGTGAGTTGGTTTGGGAGAGTGCATGTACTGACTAACAACACTGACAACATAAGAAATGTTAGGGTGAGTTAGGCATTTCCCACAAGCCATTGATACATACCTTTATCTTCAAGAGGTTCACCATCTTTTGCATTTATCTTATGATTTTGCTCAATAGGTGTATCTACAGGTTTAACACCCAATTTTCCTATTTCTTCTAGGAGATCAAGAACATACTTTCTTCGGGAAATAAAAATGCCATGCTTGGACCTTGCCACTTCAATCCCTAAGAAATACCTCAACTCACCCATATCCTTTACTTCAAACTCTTGATAAGCAACCATTTAAGAGAATTAATTTCATCAATATCACTCCCTGTCACAATGATGTCATCAACATACACAACTAGGAGAGTCAAAGCATAGCATTCCTTAATGAAAAGAGTGTAATCAGATTGGGCTTAAACATAGCCAAATCTTTCTATAGTAAGTTTGGATCTATCAAACCATGCTCTTGGAGATTGTTTTAGACCATACAAAACTTTCTTCAACTTACTGACTTTCTTACCGACCTGACGACCTCTACATCATAAAAGTTAGGAGGCAACTCCATATACACCTTCTCCTGCAAGTCGCCATTTAGAAATGCATTCTTGGCATCCATCTGAAACAATGGCCATGAGAAATTAGCAGCAAGAGACAACAAAACAATGATGGTGTTCATTTTGGTAACTGGTGCAAAGGTTTCCAAGTAATCAATACCATAAGTTTGTGTGTATTCCTTAGCAACCAGTCTAGCCTTATATCTTTCAACTGTACCATCGGCATTATACTTCACTGTGAATATCCATCTACACCCAATAGGTTTCTTCCCTCTTGGCTGATTCACAAGTTCCCAAGTATCATTTTTCACAAGGGCATCCATCTCGACCTTCATTGCTTCCTTCCATTCAGGTACAACTAAGGCTTCTTACACAGCTCTAGGAATACGAATGGCAACAATGGAAGCTAAAAAGGAATTATATAATGATGAAGGTGGTCATATGAAAGAAAATGGGAGATACAATGGGTAGTAGATGAAGTACAATGATGCTTTCCTTTGCGTAATGCAATAGGGAGGTCAAGATCATCTAAGGGAGGCTGAGGCTCAGTAGAGGTAGTAGGTATGTCCTCTGTAGTAGGAGTGGGTAAAGAGGAGGTAATACCTAAATCTGGTGCTGTAGAGGAGACTGGAACAGGCTTGGACTATTCATTACTAATACCAACTTGTCTCCACTGTCGTCTGTGAAATACCTTCAATGCTTTACACTTTTGACAACTCACCTCATTACATTCCCCTTCATTTATAGGGATAGGCAAAGGGACTTCATGAGAAAAATGCTTTGCTTACCACTTTCCCCCTGAGATGGAACTCTAGGATAATAGGGAACATCTTCAAAGAAGGTAACGTCCATAGATACAAACCAGGTTCTTAAAATAAGATCATAATATCAATACCCCTTTTGACTTTGTGTATACCCAAGAAAAATACACTTTGCAGCCTTAGGATTAAATTTAGAATGGTTAGGCCCAAATATTTGGACAAAACAGGTGCATCTAAAGGTTTTTTTGGGAAGAATAGAAAACTGCTCCTTGTTAGGATACAACAAGTTAAAGGAGCTTTCATGTCCAAGACCCATGAAGGAATCTTGTTAATAAGATAAACTACAATGAGAATGGCATCCCCCCATAAATGTATAGGAACTATAAGTGGGGTGGTAAGGCTAAGTATGGTGGTCTCCTCGAAAGAAAAAGAAAGGCCGAGGGATGTTAGGTAGAAAAGGTAGACAGGGGTCTCAGACAGAATCATGTGTTGAACACAGTTAATTCCTCTTTTTATAAGGGGAGACCCCAAGGCCCTGAAAGGAAGGAGCCAAAATGGGTTTGATTACTATTAAAAAAGGGGATCTTTGATTCGATGTCAGTTGTCAGGACTACTAGTGAGATCTTCATAGGACAGAGTTTCCTTTCGTTCGAGGATTCTCATGGTGCACGTGTGCTACTTCCCCACATGGGTCTCCTGCATCAACGTGGCGCAGATGACGTCAGAGCTAGTTTGACGTGTTTTGCTTAGTTTGTTGGTTGTCTTGTCGTGAGTGCCTTTGACTTGTTGCAGTCGTGCGACAACCCTTGTCGCCAGATCTTGGAAAACACAATGATCAGGGAAAAAAGGTCACTAAACAGATCTAATGTTTAGTGATACTATTGATTGAAAGTAGACTAGTACTTAGCTTAGGAATATGTAAAACTAGGTTTAAAGAAATGGCATCAGAGACTTTGATGTCCCTTGCTGGAAGTAGGAACAACAGAACAATTAGCAATAGACACTTTGTCTCTATCGAAGGACAACCAATAAGAGTGAAATAGAAAAGACAAACTGGTCATATGATCAGATTCTCCTGAATCTACAACCCAAAAATGGCTAGTGCTACTTAGGGTTAAGGCATGATAGGTAGTAGCCCGTGTACCTGATTGAGCAAAAGCTGAAGTGGGTGGAGCAGGAGTAGAATGAGACTGCTTTGAGATGCTCACTTCACTCTCCAACTGAGTCAAAGCATCCTTAATCATAGCCAATGCATCTAGAGAACTGGAT